GGAGAGTTTCACTGGAGAATTTGTCAATTTTGTTGTAGTGGATGTGAAGGAGAGTTTCACTGGAGAATTTGTCAATTTTGTTGTAGTGGATGTGAAGGAGAGTTTCACTGGAGAATTTGTCGATATTATTGAAGTGGAAATGAAGGAGAGTTTCACTGGAGAATTTGTCAATTTTGTTGTAGTGGATGTGAAGGAGAGTTTCAATGGAGAATTTGTCAATTTTGTTGTAGTGGATGTGAAGGAGAGTTTCAATGGAGAATTTGTCAATTTTGTTGCAGTGGATGTGAAGGAGAGTTTCAATGGAGAATTTGTCAATTTTGTTGTAGTGGATGTGAAGGAGAGTTTCACTGGAGAATTTGTCAATTTTGTTGTAGTGGATGTGAAGGAGAGTTTCACTGGAGAATTTGTCGATATTATTGAAGTGGAAATGAAGGAGAGTTTCACTGGAGATTTTGTCAATTTTGTTGTAGTGGATGTGAAGGAGAGTTTCACTGGAGAATTTGTCGATATTATTGAAGTGGAAATGAAGGAGAGTTTCACTGGAGATTTTGTCAATTTTGTTGCAGTGGATGTGAAGGAGAGTTTCACTGGAGATTTTGTCAATTTTGTTGCAGTGGATGTGAAGGAGAGTTTCACTGGAGATTTTGTCAATTTTGTTGTAGTGGATGTGAAGGAGAGTTTCACTGGAGATTTTGTCAATTTTGTTGTAGTGGATGTGAAGGAGAGTTTCACTGGAGATTTTGTCAATTTTGTTGCAGTGGATGTGAAGGAGAGTTTCACTGGAGATTTTGTCAATTTTGTTGTAGTGGATGTGAAGGAGAGTTTCACTGGAGAATTTGTCGATATTATTGAAGTGGAAATGAAGGAGAGTTTCACTGGAGATTTTGTCAATTTTGTTGTAGTGGATGTGAAGGAGAGTTTCACTGGAGAATTTGTCGATATTATTGAAGTGGAAATGAAGGAGAGTTTCACTGGAGATTTTGTCAATTTTGTTGCAGTGGATGTGAAGGAGAGTTTCACTGGAGATTTTGTCAATTTTGTTGCAGTGGATGTGAAGGAGAGTTTCACTGGAGATTTTGTCAATTTTGTTGTAGTGGATGTGAAGGAGAGTTTCACTGGAGATTTTGTCAATTTTGTTGTAGTGGATGTGAAGGAGAGTTTCACTGGAGATTTTGTCAATTTTGTTGCAGTGGATGTGAAGGAGAGTTTCACTGGAGATTTTGTCAATTTTGTTGTAGTGGATGTGAAGGAGAGTTTCACTGGAGATTTTGTCAATTTTGTTGCAGTGGATGTGAAGGAGAGTTTCACTGGAGATTTTGTCAATTTTGTTGTAGTGGATGTGAAGGAGAGTTTCACTGGAGAATTTGTCGATATTATTGAAGTGGAAATGAAGGAGAGTTTCACTGGAGATTTTGTCAATATTATTGAAGTGGAAATGAAGGAGAGTTTCACTGGAGATTTTGTCAATTTTGTTGCAGTGGATGTGAAGGAGAGTTTCACTGGAGATTTTGTCAATTTTGTTGTAGTGGATGTGAAGGAGAGTTTCACTGGAGATTTTGTCAATTTTGTTGTAGTGGATGTGAAGGAGAGTTTCACTGGAGATTTTGTCAATTTTGTTGCAGTGGATGTGAAGGAGAGTTTCACTGGAGATTTTGTCAATTTTGTTGTAGTGGATGTGAAGGAGAGTTTCACTGGAGATTTTGTCAATTTTGTTGTAGTGGATGTGAAGGAGAGTTTCACTGGAGAATTTGTCAATTATTGAAGTGGAAATGAAGGAGAGTTTCACTGGAGATTTTGTCAATTTTGTTGTAGTGCATGTGAAGGAGAGTTTCACTGGAGAATTTGTCGATATTATTGAAGTGGAAATGAAGGAGAGTTTCACTGGAGATTTTGTCAATTTTGTTGTAGTGGATGTGAAGGAGAGTTTCACTGGAGAATTTGTCGATATTATTGAAGTGGAAATGAAGGAGAGTTTCACTGGAGATTTTGTCAATTTTGTTGTAGTGGATGTGAAGGAGAGTTTCACTGGAGAATTTGTCGATATTATTGAAGTGGAAATGACAGAGTTTCACTGGAGATTTTGTCAATTTTGTTGTAGTGGATGTGAAGGAGAGTTTCACTGGAGAATTTGTCGATATTATTGAAGTGGAAATGAAGGAGAGTTTCACTGGAGATTTTGTCAATTTTGTTGTAGTGGATGTGAAGGAGAGTTTCACTGGAGAATTTGTCGATATTATTGAAGTGGAAATGAAGGAGAGTTTCACTGGAGATTTTGTCAATTTTGTTGTAGTGGATGTGAAGGAGAGTTTCACTGGAGAATTTGTCGATATTATTGAAGTGGAAATGAAGGAGAGTTTCACTGGAGATTTTGTCAATTTTGTTGTAGTGGATGTGAAGGAGAGTTTCACTGGAGAATTTGTCGATATTATTGAAGTGGAAATGAAGGAGAGTTTCACTGGAGATTTTGTCAATATGATTGAAGTGGAAATGAAGGAGAGTTTCTCTGGAGAATTGATAACAAGGTGACATACACTACATCATGGCATAAGCTGCATATTCCTAGTTCTCTAGACTATGAAAAGTATAAGACTGTACGGAGATTCATTAGACTTCCATCATCTGTTTAAAAGGTAACCATTTCACTAGTAAAACATTTAACAATAAAACAACTCCATTCTGTAAGAAACATAGACCCTAAGGTAAAACTGCTGACTGAATATAAAAATCTATCATCCATACAAAAAATGTGTGGAAAGACCATATAACAAAACATAAACAGATTTGTATATCTCTTAATGATGTAAAGATATACTATCATAAAGAACTATACACATGTGTACACCTCATACACATGTGTACACCTCATACACATGTGTACACCTCATACAATACCTATGTATGCTCGCTTGTGAAATTCAATATGCACATGCGTACACCTCATATGATATGTATGTATACTCACTTGTGAAATTCAATATGCACATGTGTACACCTCATATGATATGTATGTATACTCACTTGTGAAATTCAATATGCACATGTGTACACCTCATATGATATGTATGTATACTCACTTGTGAAATTCAATATGCACATGTGTACACCTCATATGATATGTATGTATACTCACTTGTGAAATTCAATATGCACATGTGTACACCTCATATGATATGTATGTATAATCACTTGTGAAATTCAATATGCACATGTGTACACCTCATATGATATGTATGTATACTCTCTTGTGAAATTCAATATGCACATGTGTACACCTCATATGATATGTATGTATACTCACTTGTGAAATTCTATATACACATGTGTACACCTCATACAATACACATGTAAAATCACTTGTAAAATTCAATATGCACATGTGTACACCTCATATGATATGTATGTATACTCACTTGTGAAATTCAATATACACATGTGTACACCTCATACATATGTGTACACCTCATACAATACATATGTATACTCGCTTGTGAAATTCAATATACACATGTGTACACCTCATACAATACACATGTAAAATCACTTGTGAAATTCAATATACACATGTGTACACCTCATACAATACACATGTAAAATCACTTGTGAAATTCAATATACACATGTGTACACCTCATACAATACACATGTAAAATCACTTGTGAAATTCAATATACACATGTGTACACCTCATACAATACACATGTAAAATCACTTGTGAAATTCAATATACACATGTGTACACCTCATACAATACACATGTAAAATCACTTGTGAAATTCAATATACACATGTGTACACCTCATACAATACACATGTAAAATCACTTGTGAAATTCAATATACACATGTGTACACCTCATACAATACACATGTAAAATCACTTGTGAAATTCAATATGCACATGTGTACACCTCATACAATACACATGTAAAATCACTTGTGAAATTCAATATGCACATGTGTACACCTCATACAATACACATGTAAAATCACTTGTGAAATTCAATATACACATGTGTACACCTCATACAATACACATGTAAAATCACTTGTGAAATTCAATATACACATGTGTACACCTCATACAATACACATGTAAAATCACTTGTGAAATTCAATATACACATGTGTATACTCATTTAACAAATAACAGACAAATGACCATGACTAACACATTACTACAATGTACATGTATGATGAGCAGCAAAATACATTGTATACACAAAACACAATTTCCACATGTATGCACACTCAGAAAATACAATATATGTGCATACACACTCACTAAATACTATATACACACATACACACTCACTAAATACTATATACACATATACACACTCACAAAATACTTTTTACACACTCACAAAATACTATATACACACATACACACTCACAAAATACTATATACACATATACACACTCACTAAATACTATATACACATATACACACTCACAAAATACTATATACACATATACACACTCACAAAATACTATTTACACACTCACAAAATACAATATACACATATACACACTCACTAAATACAATAGAAGTCAAAGTATATCTCAAGGCTGCAGGAATATATAATCCAGACAAATGACATAAGACATGATCAACCTTAAAGATAGAAATATATCACAGTTGTAGATTTCGTCATGATAAACAAGCTTACATTTAGTAATTATAGTAAAATAATGAATGGGTAATAATGTTTTAATGGGAGGTTTTGAATGAATCTTTACTCTAGATTTTAATTTAGGCCAATGTCAAAATGAGATTTTAAATATTTTGTCATCTTTTACCATTTTACAGCTGGATGATTTGTTTCCTGTGGAGAAAAGTGACTGGGAGATTTATATATCATTATGCTACTTAATGTACCAATATATGCTTTGGCGTACAGTATCACATGGATAATGTGTTAATTCTTGTTTAGTCAGTTGATAAGACAACAGTAAACCTTGTAAATCAGCAAAGTTTCCATTGGTTTTTACAGTACAGTATAGCTGTGAAAATAATCACTGCAAACATGTTATCTGTTTACCTGTCAAAATTTCCACTTTCTTCCATCTGATCGTTTTAATATGAGTATCGATATCTGTACCCGAACTGTTAAAAAAATTTGATAAATATTTCGGAATCTAAGAGTATCTTCCCAAAAATATAATGCCACAAAATGCCCGAATAAAGAATTGTGAATATGACCAGATGTGGAAAAAAAGAGTTTCCATTAACAGCTTGTATGATGTTTAACAGGCCGATTCAACACCACATGTTAAAGAGAAAATGTGTTAAAGTGACACACAACACGTTGAACAGGTTTATTATGTTACAAGATAAGAGAGTTACATAACAGGGGAGATAACATATGACAAAACATTAAGGTTGCACAACACTGTTATTAAACCAACTAAATTAGAATAACTATCAACGTATGAGAAAAAGGAGAAATCAAGAGGAGGAAGCAGCTATTTCCAAAGCGCTCTTCACAGTATCGTCACTTTCAGGAATGTCCTTCGAGCTGACAAGATCTATCGCCATGGCTGCTAACTCTTGGACTTCCTGTGTTGTCTCCGGATCGTTTCTGATGGTTTCCATGACAGGAAGACCGCCTTCCATCTTTAACATTTGACAGTACACACTTCCTGGAAAGGTCAACATTGATTGATCATGTGAGTACATACATCAAATTTCTGTGGAATTAGCTAAATATTTGTTTCTAACCAAAACCAGGAGACACCAAAGCCCAGGGTAATCTTTGATTTGAAACAGGATTTAAACAAATCCCATGAGATCTAGGTAGTTCTGTATAGTGAAACAGGCTTCTAACAAAATAAGAGGACCTAAGCTATTAGTTTTCTACAGTAAAACATTAAACATGGGAAGATATGATTCAAGATTAAAAGCCAAGTTCAAAGGTTGTGGACAAGTGATATTGAAATATTCCTAACAAAGGAATGATTAGGCTTCTTGTGCTGGAAGTTATGCAGTTAGGCCCTAATCATGGACAACATATGATTATATGTGCTCAGAGGATAAATAAAGGCCCTTATTATGGACAAGAAGTGGTTAGACATGCCTAGAGGATGAATTAAGGCCCTTATTATGGACAAGATGTGGTTAAGACATGCCTAGAGGATGAATAAAGGCCCTAATTATGGACAAGATGTGGTTAAATGTGCCCAGAGGATGAATTAAGGCCCTTATTATGGACAAGATGTAGTTAAGACATGCCAAGAGGATGAATAAGGCCCTTATTATGGACCAGACCTTGTCCCAAGCATTCAGAGAAAAAACAAGACTGTTGGTTCTAAACCCTTTATGGTGATCCATTGTTTTATCAAGGTCTATCTGTTACTGCTTACCAGGTGTCTACCTTATGTTATAAACCAAACAGGGGAGGATGTTACCTTTAGATTTGATGAGGTTACATATACACCAGATAGCCAATAGCTGAGCCTCTGGGGTGTGGCTTTTCTGGGCCATTTCCAAGAACGGTAACAGAGACCTGTAAGATATCGAACAATGAAAATGAATTCTGCTACATATTGATAGTAACCCACTTAGTTATTTTGAATTTGTATTGTATGGCAGGCCAAATAGTCATGTAATCATGGAGTATATGTTGATCCAGTGCTTGACCAAATCAAATAAGATATCTATTTGTTTACATAATACCTTACTTACTAGATAAGACACTTAATTTACTAATTAAGATACCTAATTTACGATATCTAATTTACTAATTAAGATACCTAATTTACGATATCTAATTTACTAATTTTGATACCTAATTTACCATATAAAATACCTAATTTACTAGAATATGTATCTAATTCACAAGATAACATACCAAATTTACTAGAAAAGATACCTTATTTGCTAGATAATATATCTAATTTATTAAAAAGATATCTAGTTTACTAGATTTGATATCTTATTTAATTATCTTATTTATTAAATAAGATAACTCATAAATTTGGTTTAGTATAGCATCAACATTACTCACCTTGGCTGACCATGGCATTTCAAGAAAAAAAATGTAATTGTATGTATACAGCAGAAACTGTGGGGTCTACACAACAGAGGATTGACATTCTTCTTTCTAGGGTGTGACATGTCAGAGTGGGGACAATGCAAAATGGAACCTTGCTGTATGGACAGCACCAATTATAAATATGCATCGTATAAAAGGGAAAAAAAAATCTTGAAAGGCCCCATCAGCTGTGAACGCTAGCTTCATTTCATTACTGGACTGAAACTGTCAATGTACATTCTTTATTGTGTCTGTATTGTGAATTGTGAATTTGTACATAAAGCAGCATGTTTTTATCAAATTGTCATAAACGAAAATGAAGACATTTAGGTCTTTATGTGCAAGAATTCTTCTGAACAAAGAGAGAGTTAAACTACATGTTTTTACTTGTAACCTTGTAATAGTTGGAATTTTTGCATATGTGCAATAAGTGCACATACACGTACACATTTCCCCCTTGAAAAAGATTCAAGATTAAATGGTGGATTTTCAATGTTCAAGTCATAATTAAAGCAGTTTCTAAAGGGAGTACATATTAACTCAATGTTAATGAAAAAGAAAGGTGTACATATTTAACGAGAGGTAAGTATTATAGGTGTACAGACATTAACCTACCTGTACAAGGTCTTCATGCTACTAGATATATCCCAGCGGTGGACAGCAGCTGAAATCTTTGCCAGAACAGAAGAACGGTCAGGATTTTTTAGTATCCAAGCATCTGGCCCATCACTGACCAGGTTAGCCATTAAACAAGTCGCCTGGAAACTAAGCGCTTCCTCCATCACTTGAGAATCTGTCAAGTCACTGTGTCAGGTTCACAAAACAATAGAAATACCAAGTTTAATAAGGTTGATAAATAGTGAGACTTGAAGAAGTCAAAATTATCGGGACTTCATCGAATTTGACTTAAATAATGGTTCCATTTACAGTGTTATTGTATTGTGCTTGTTATAAAGTACAAACGAGTAATGAAAAAAGTCTCCTAGACACTTAACTGATTGACTAATGGGAAATTTTGACTCATTGATCCAGGAAGGTAACCTGTAATCTACACTTCTAAAGTGAATTGGGACGGAGTGAAATATTTAGAGCATCCTTAGTATTTGATTTCAGCATGTTTTAACCTGTTTTGTTGAATAATCTTACTATGTAAAGACACACATTCTCCATTTCGTATGATACTGAACCTTGTATCACTGTACACAATGTGATTGGTCAAATTTGCGAGGCCAATATTAAGTCTTGGTACTATTTAAACTCAAAGAATTGTAAGGTTAAAATTCTAATATCATAAACAATAGTACACTTTGTTTACTGTAATATGGCAAATAAGACATGTTTACTGTACGGATGAACATTATCATTCTTTTTGTCCTGTAATAGACCAATCCCCTGACGTTGAGTCTGAGCTGGGCTTATTGTCCTGTGAAGAGCCAACCTCCCTATTTTGAGTCACAGTGAATGTGTTGGCCCCAAGACGTTTGTCCTGTAATAAACTCACCCCCTAACTTTGTGTTAGAGGGAATGTGTTGGTTCCCTTGGCTTACTGTCTTGTAATTAATAAGTTTACCCTCTGACTTTGAGTCACAGTGAATGTTTTGGCCCCAAGCATTTTGTCCTGTAATAAGCCCACCCCATAACTTTGAGTCACAGTGAATGTTTTGGCCCCAAGCATTTTGTCCTGTAATAAGCCCACCCCATAACTTTGAGTCACAGTGAATGTTTTGGCCCCAAGCATTTTGTCCTGTAATAAGCCCACCCCATAACTTTGAGTCACAGTGAATGTTTTGGCCCCAAGCATTTTGTCCTGTAAAAAGCCCATCCCCTGACTAAAAAGTAAGAAAGAATGTGTTTGGATAATACTACCTTATTATGATTAAGAGTTCCTCGTTTTGTAGCAACTCTTTTCTCAGCTCAGCCACCTCGGACACATTTGCCTGTAAACAAACCACAGTATAGATACAATATAGTAAGTTCTATACAGTAAATTCATTCTTTATAGCATGGGAAATATCACAATATATAGATAAATATATCTATGGCAACACACAAAAATAACATAAAATTTGTTTAACTTTGAAGAGCTATTTTGTATTCAAGAAACTGAGAATGGTGAAAAAAGGCAGAGTTACTAGGAGATAATCCATCAGTAATGCACTTAAGGAGATATCATGGATGTCAATATATATAACTTATTAAACATTTAGAAAGCCCTCCTGCCCCAAAACCCCCACCTTCTTCATTTTCGCAAAATTATCTAAAATAGTAAGCTAAAAGGGGGATTATTTGAGAGTAAATACAGTATGTGACTCTTGACTTCTTCACCTGATAAGGAATAAAGTTATGTATATTAGTAACATTCAGCATCTGTCACTTGTGTTAGGTTGCATATCCTTATAGCTACACCATTGATGCTAGTACAATCCTTGTAGCAATTAAAGTGACCCGTTATTTTACAATTTTAAAGTTCCTCCTAATCTGGTGTAAGTATGAAGAAAAAGAACATTTCATATTGAATTTAAGATCTATATACAGTTATTACATAAACATTGATGAAATAAATTCTTTCTACCAAGTTTATGCAGATTTAGGAAAATTATGGAGAGGTTTTACACTCATCATGGTGACCTCATGGCGAAATATTTAATTTCTTTGTGCCATGTGAACTTGTATGTGTTGGATGCTCATTAGTTTGCCTGCTGGTTCTGTTCTTGTATACCTTGTTCTCCAATGAGAATGTGACATTACTTTGTTGGATTGTCCAAGATTTACATGGGGTGTTATTGATGAAGCAGAAGATGCTCATTCTTTCAGAACGTCTGGTCTTATTCTCCTTGTACTTTTTAAATAGTTCATATTTTGCCCTAGTTTTATTGAACTAGAGTTTGGATTATGGTTATGTTCACAGGTTGATATTTTTATGTTGTTATTGATGGCAGAACCCTGTTTCATATCTCTGACTATGTTCTGTCGGCAATAAATGAACTTAAATTATAAACAAGATCAAGGGCTGTAAATATTTCCTGTAGGAAGTGAAAAAAGTCATACTTAAATCAACGCTTCTTACCATGACCCCAAGCAGACCTCGAACAAATGAATCCCCTTGTTGTTTACCCTAGAAAAAAAACCATTTATTTCATTACTGAAAAAAAATTAGTTTCTCTGCTACAGAAGAACTATAAAACTTAATGATAAACAAACAGTCACGCATGAATATTTACAATTCTAACACAAAAAAGTGGTTTAGAACTAGCATCAGTCAAAATATAGTGGGTGTCAATATAGATTTTATGGTGAACTACTATGAGCCCAAACGCTTATTTATGTTACAATATATGGTTTTACCTTCAAACATTCCAGGTATAATTCCAAGGCATCTGGCACAGCCAATAACCTCATACAATTGGAAGGCACTTCATCTGCAAAGGAAATATATCGCCAAAACAATTAATTTGTAAAATTAACTGATTGTTTTATAAATCATTTCAGTTTATTTTTTGTAAATTAACCAATAATATGTCCATTAACATTCATTTAATTAGATTTTAATTAATAAAATATAAAAATAATATCTTTTACCTTTCCACACCTTTCCTTACATGTAAATATATACAGTATGCCAATCAGCACCTTCAGAACTGGTGATGTAGTGCCTTACAAAAGCTGTTTATTTGTGACAAATCAGCTAATCTTTGACTTGATGATTGTACTATGACCAGATCTTAATCTCTTGGTTTATTTTGTAATCAGCAAGACTTCAACTTCCAAGAAATATAATTTCCAGCACAAAGATAAGATGTGTTCATTTTTTAGTTACATTTGATGGAAACTCTGCTAACCATATAGGATAGTAATGTCAGGCTTGTATGAACTTTGACCTTGTGTCCTTTACCTCACCTGTTAGTCCCCAGAGGCACTGCCATGCTAGGTGTGTACAGTGGCTGGTCTTTCTTCTCGCCACCGACAAAAGGAACTAAAAATAAACAAGAGGCCCATTGGACTTGAGGGTCATCTGACTATAAAGACCTACTTATGAAAGAGGTCAAATAGGCCTAAAATAAATTGCTAAACCACTCTACAGCTTCATAAAGATTTTTTCTGCAAACTTGAAATCATATTCTTTATACATGCACTACACAATTGCCGTTACACATATTGCTTGTTGAAGAAAAATGCTACAGGCCCAGTATCAAGACCCCTAGCCTTCTGATTACTGAGAAGAAGTTGCTTATGCATTTCAACTCCTTTGATCCTTGTGACCTTGACAGTAGGTCAAGGTGAACAAACTTGGTAGCCCTTCATCCCATCATGCTACAGGCTCAATATCAGCACCCTGGGCCTTTTGGTTATTGAGAAGTTGTTTAATATTTTAACATATTTGACCCCTGTGACCTTGAAAGCAGGTCAAGGTCATTTATATTAACAAACTTGGCAGCCCTTCATCCAATCATACTACAGGCTCAATATCAGTGCCCCGAGCTTTCTGGTTATTGAAAAGAAGTCATTCAAATGGAAAGTTTACACAGGGGTGGACGGCACATGACGACTGACAAAACACAATGACTATAGGTCATCCTGGCTCAATAACTTCATTTACAAAATGTTTGTTAAGGAATGTCCTTGCTCCCATGCGTATAAACAACATTATATGATGAATCTACAGAAGTTGTTAAATAGGACATTAAAACCTTTAACCTTGACCAATGACAACCTTCATAAGATAGGGAGTAGAACTTGATGTTAGGGTACTATGTGGTAAATATGAACATCTGTAGAGAGCTTCTCAATATGTGACAATGATCTGGATGTGACAGGATGGGACGCATTGGGACATGAGAGGAGGACATAGTTAACACTTTTTGTATGAAAATAAGAGGCCAATATTCAGATTTCTTTGATAATGAGAAGACTTTGTTTGTCCATAATTTACCTCTATGAAGCCTTGTTGCCCCAGAAAGTCCCTGGACTCGTAGTCACCATAGTAAATAGCTATCCTCATCAGGTGGATGGCATAGGTTTCCAGTGTTTGGCTAACATAGCTATGATTGTCTGAACTACAGAACTTCTCCATCACACACTTCATGTACCGTTTCATGCTATAGCAGTATTTCTGAAAAATGAAGATAAATCTTTATATACATGTACACCAAAGCTAAGTTCTTTGTCATAGTTCAGGGCTATATTCCTTGATTCTAATATAGAGAACTGTGTCAAGTGACTATTTTTCAAGAATATTATATATAGGATTGGAAGTTAAGTAGCTCTGGTCTGTCCCTTCATATTTTATGTACATATTCTGCTCCTGAAAGTAGACATACTTCTAGTTTGACATTACTGACTTTTGTTAGAGAAGACGCTGAAGACGGAAACAACTCAAAATTTCTATTTTTTTTTGATGTGTTGATCCTTCAAAATGCAAACAATGCCAAGATGAATAGCTTTCACATCCTCTCATTCTTCTTTTCAAAAATCTTTCCAGAGATAGTTAGTGCTGATTCTAACCACTAACTGATACAATGGCAGTCTGAGATGGGTGATGCTCCCTGAATGGAACAAAATTTAAGTATGAAAAATAACAAAAGACAGCAGGAGAGTTATGATTTTTGTGCACTGCACTCCTTCTCCTTGTTGAGATCTATCTACCTAAGGAGTTTCAAGTTGATACCACTAATAGTTTTAGTGTAATGCTCTAGACAATGTTTAAGGATGAAAAATAACAAAGGGCATTAACTCCTAAAATGTGCAAAAGACAGTGATGGTTCTGGTGCACTGCACTTCTCCTTGTTAAGATTGCAACTGAGATTGAGAACTGCCATCCTGAGAATAACTAATAAAAACTCTCCCCCAGATGCCAATATGTCTTCTTCTCAATGCCAACCAAAGGAATACCAATATTTTGGTCCAATGAATGTATCTGCCATCCTATGCACAGCTTGATCAGACAATACCTCAATTTTTACCAGACAGTAGTGATAAATTGCATAATTTGACTAAGTTTGAATAAAAGAGTTGCAAGGGCTTATGAGCTATGGTGGGCCATCACACAGATACATATGTATAATGACAGGTTACAAAGACAACAAAAATTGTTAACAAAAAATAAGAGACAGATAGAAGGAAAATGCATACACATCTAAGTTTGGACCAAAATATTTCTGTAAAGTTTCCTTTAAAATTGTTTCCATGTTTCGGTAAAGTCTGGGCAAGATCAGTATAAACATAAGTCTTATTTGGTTACCATGGTAACCAAATAACATACAATGGTACCATTGTAATCACAATTCTTCAAAACTCTTATTTATTAATGTTCATCATAGTGTGACATTATGTCAATTTAAACCTTTCCTTACATTTCCTATAGTAATAGTTCTGGAAGCAACTGATAGGTCACTTTATAAGCTTAGATCAGTTTCAATTGATTTTCATACTGAAGAGTTACAGTCCAATACACGAAAACTTGTGTATAGTGACCTGATTACCATGGCAATCAAAATATCTGCGAAAATGGAAAATGTCTGTAAGACATAAATGCCACCCTCCATCTCCCAAAGTATTTCTATATATAGCAAGGTTGACCTTGGCCTTGACCATGGGCCCCTGTAACAAAATGATGTCCAAAGTATGATTATAATTGACCTTTGCATAAAGTTTGACCAGTTGCATTGAATCAAGCAGGACGTGACACGACGGGATGGGACAGACATAGGCAACGCTACATGCCTCCATGCCCCCCACTGAAAAACTAAAACCTGCATGCACATCTACAGTTTCATTAAAATTGATTCACAAGTTTAGGATGGGTTTTACAGGTTAGATTTACAAACAAGAGACATCAACTCATCTAAACAACCAAACAACCAGACATTCAGAAAAGGATAATATCAGTATTCCCCCTCCGACTGCTCATTTTTCAAATCACTAAACATTAATTATTTAACAACACTTAAGAAAATTAGACAGAACAAAATTTTACTCACAGCATCATGTGGCAGTTTCAACTTCAATAGGATCCTAAGACAACAGCTAAGGGTCTACAAAACAATATTACAGAGTTCATGAGTAATGACTATAAGGAATGTGACTATTACTGATTAAGTTTTGATGCCTTTTGCTTCACCCTGATACAAGTTTTAAGCAGAAGTATATATCTTTATATGTTTTCAGAACAATTATTACACTGGGCAAAAGCAATCACTTTTATGCTAAGTTGGAAGAGACCCAGGACAATTGTTTCTTCTATACAGTATGGACAATTCAACGGAAAATTCAGTTAACAAAATGAATCTGAAATTGGCGAGTTATCAAGATTCTAGTTCAAAATAATGGAATATGAGCTGATGTCTACTAATTATTTGTTTTACTTCTCAGGAAATTGGGGAGGGTAAAAAAAATATTTTTCTCCATTTTGTAAAAACAAATTGTGACAGAAAAAAATTATAATTATTTCAATTCAGGTGAACACATGGTGGCAGTACAAAAGAATTGTAATTCATGAGAAAACTTACCACATGATTTGAAGAATTGTTCAGACAAAATAAAGTTGTTTCCAGGATCTTTGCACGCAGTGACTGCCCCAGACTGATTGCTGTATCTTTCATTGAAGGGGAGTCTCTTATCAATAGCAATGCAATACAGGCACTTCAAAAAGAAAAATACAATCAATCACATTTTCAAAAGAATTTAAGATTATATACACTATTAATTCAAAACAAGCTATTTTTCTTTTTAAGATTTCCTCCCTCACCAAATATTGCATATCTTACATTCAAACAGAAATCACGATAATAAATTGATCTTATATAAGCACAGTAAATGCTGAAATTTCCAAATTTTGAAATCCTCAAATATGTTTGTCTTGAATCCTTTAACATCAAGTCTGTCCAGTCTAACCAACTAACTGTTAGTCTGTCCAGTCTTACCATTCAGCTGTTAGTCTGTCCAGTCATACCATTCAGCTGTTAGTCTGTCCAGTCATACCAACCAACTGTTAGTCTGTCCAGTCATACCATTCAGCTGGTAGTCTGTCCAGTCATACCATCCAACTGTTAGTCTGTCCAGTCTTAACATTCAGCTGTTAGTCTGTCCAGTCATACCATCCAATTGTTAGTCTGTCCAGTCATACCATTCAGCTGTTAGTCTGTCCAGTCATACCAACCAATTGTTAGTCTGTCCAGTCTTACCAAACAACTGTAAGTCAGTCCAGTCTTAACATCACCCTGTAAGTCTGTCCAGTCTTACCATCCAACTGTTAGTCTGTCCAGTCTTACCATCCAACTGCTTTTCTGTCCAGTCTTACCATCCAACTGTAAGTCTGTCCAGTCTTAACATCACCCTGTAAGTCTGTCCAGTCTTACCATCCAACTGTTAGTCTGTCCAGTCTTACCATCCAACTGTAAGTCTGTCCAGTCTTAACATCACCCTGTAAGTCTGTCCAGTCTTAACATCACCCTGTAAGTCTGTCCAGTCTTACCATCCAACTGTGAGTCTGTCCAGTCTTACCATCCAACTGTAAGTCTGTCCAGTCTTATCATCCAACTGTTTGTCTGTCCTGTCTTACCATCAAGCTCTCTGTCTGCATGTCTCAAACAAAGTCTGTCTTGACTTTAGATCAGGCTGTCTGACTGTCCTGATTCATGATTTAGCTATCTAACACTCCTGACTTAATATCAAGCTGTCTTTCTTCACTTACCAGCTGTCTCTCTGGATTGTGTCAATGTTAGGATGCAGATGGATCACCTTCAGTAAACATTCAATCAATACGATAGTGTTTGTGTCTATGGTGAGCTGAAAGATAAAATGAATGAAATCAGATTATCAGACTAATGTTGGCCATGCTTTCCATGTTGATAAGACCATATGTTTTTTAATTACTAATGAAAAAAACAAATCTGGTCATCATGGTCTAATTTCTCAGATGTCTAATGTCAAAATTTGGTTGAATTCTGTAAAGTAATTTGGAGGAGAAGTTTTAAGTTGAATGTTACAGATAATAGACCACACACAGCACAATGGGAAGTATTCATCTTAATAAGAATGCTAAATATATTGTATAACATGTAACAAAATATAAACCTTTATTTTATTTATCTGTTGGTCAGACATGGAGCTGTTGATAAACCATTGAAGTGCATGTATGACAGGTTGCAGCATCCCAGTATTATTTTTGTAAACCTCCATGGCCAGCACCACATTCTCAAATTTTGCTAAACAGGTAAACTGTGGATAAACAAGGAATACATTGTTATATTATACCACTTATGTGAACGGTGGGTTTGGCTTCTCATGAAATAACATGTATACAAGTTTTTCATTTCAAAAGTCATCAAGTACAAGCATTCAACCTTGACTAATAACCACCAAAATCTGAAGGAGTGAAATCATTATTTTGGCTTTGTTTCAAACATCAATTTAGGCAATCAATTTCCATAATTAATTAACGAGCCTATTCCACCATTTTAAAATGACACAAGTGATTTTGATGACCCTGGCAGTTAAAAACGTTTTCAATGTCGTTATATCTCACCTCTTCAGCTGGTACGTTCTCCCATGAAAATGGAAGCTCAGAACAATTACATAAGCCCAGGAAAGAAAACTTTCTGTACCCAAAACTTTGACTTATTGTCTTTTCAACCCTGGAATGAAAATTTAAACAAAAATAATTTATCCAAAAAAAATAAAAAATAAAATTTTAAATCAGTAATTGCTAATACAGAAATTTATACCAAGTCATGTAGAATGTTTTAAAAGTGAAAATGATACTGAATGCCATGGTCCATTATAACCAGTGAAAACATCTTGGTCAGTCAATGTGATCGTGCAGCTTTGTCAACTTATACTACAGAATTTTTAGGTCCTGAATTTGAATCTGGACTTCAGTTTTTTCAGTTTTATCAAACTGGCAGCTTACATTTAATATACCATTTAGTAATGTTGTAATGGAAGTCACCGGTGTAACCTTCCATGACCTGAATTTAGATGCAATTAATGTTTTCATCTGAATTATATATATATATGCAATTACTGTTTTTTTAAACATACTCTTGTACATGAAGTTCATAATTTTTTTTTATATCAAACTAATGGAATGAATCATTGCCATCAATCTTAATATCATCTCAACCTTAATATTATCGAAAGAATCATTTATCAATCTTAATATCATCTATCGAAAGAATCATTTATCAATCTTAATATCATCTATCGAAAGAATCATTTATCAATCTTAATATCATCTATCGAAAGAATCATTTATCAATCTTAATGTCATCTATCGAAAGAATCATTTATCAATCTTAATGTCATCTATCGAAAGAATCATTTATCAATCTTAATATTATCTATCGAAAGAATCATTTATCAGTCTTAATATTATCTATCGAAAGAATCATTTATCAATCTTAACATTATCTATCAAAAGAATCATTTATCAATCTTAATATTATCTATCGAAAGAATCATTTATCAATCTTAATATTATCTATCGAAAGAATCATTTATCAATCTTAATATTATCTATCGAAAGAATCATTTATCAATCTTAATATTATCTATCGAAAGAATCATTTATCAGTCTTAATATTATCTATCGAAAGAATCATTTATCAATCTTAATATTATCATTATCTATCGAAAGAATCATTTATCAACCTTAATATTATCTATCGAAAGAATCATTTATGAATCTTAATATTATCTATCAAAAGAATCATTTATCAGTCTTAATATTATCTATCAAAAGAATCATTTATCAGTCTTAATATTATCTATCAAAAGAATCATTTATCAGTCTTAATATTATCTATCAAAAGAATCATTTGCAAATACCAATCCACCTCTGACTACAAATCTCATGGTAAAATAGTATACAGTATCAACTTCATGCAAATCTATGAGCTATTCAAAACCTTTCTTATTGTCAAAAATGTATAGGATATGAAAACCAATGTTCCTTAACCATTGCTGCTTGGCCTGATCTTTTTGTTTGTTTTCCATCTTCACTCCTGCCAGGTTTGTCCCGGAAATGTCAAGTGAAGTCAATGAGGGCAGGCTATTTAAAAGCTCATTCATACTCTCCTCTGGGGCTTCATACATCCTTGGCTCTTCCACAATTGCTGATATATCTAGGTGACTGCAGGGAAAAAGAAAGGATGTGTATATTTACACCTGGACATTTGAATCTCCATCCCTCATCTTTTTATTATGATCCAAATCATTGAAGGGCTAATCTAGTAAGGCAAAAGCTTTTTATTTCAAAAGTGGTCAACACTGACCTTTGACTTTTAACCTTGACTTATGACCTTAAAAATTGATATGGTGATGATATGGTGTGAATATGAACTAAAACTGTTCAGGGGTTCATGAGATGCCTTGAATGCAAGTTTTTTATTTCAAAAGTATACAAAGGTGACCTTTGACCTTTAATCTTGACCAATGAACATGCTAAATTATGATTGAACTAATTGCAGCTTTTGTATGTTGTTTATATAACAATTAATGTGAATGCCTAAATTCATCATTGCGCCAATTTGTGAAAAAGTTATAATGCCTTAAAATGTCACTTTATCAAATCAAGTATGTTAACTTCTGTAACCCTGTTAAAATACTAGCCGCAATATACCACTCGGCTAGAGAGAACTTCGCTTTAGCTCGATTGGTTGAGCGTCAGACTAGTACGCCAGGGGCCCTGGGAGGAGGCATTGAACTAAATAATGACCTCTGTTACACTTATATCCAGATATATTAATCACTGTTGATCTTGAGAGAGGTGTAAGGAGTTTTACTGTGGGAAGAAACCAGAGTACCCAGGGGTTGTGACTTTTCACACCTAATCAGGGAATGAAATCCTAGTCACTGAAGTGAAAGGGTAGTACAAAACCACTGCACCATTGGACAGTCCAAGGTATATTAGTTACAAAACTCACTTGAATTTCTTCTCATAACAAAACACAATTTTAATTCTGTGAATATCATTAAACCAGTCTTTTCATTTGAAAATACTTGCAAATATAATTAAAGCAATAGCAGCAATAAAAAGCCAAACATAAGTGATTTACCGTAGGTTTTCAGCTTTCGCGATTTGTCCAAGACCAGTAACTACATCTTTAATCTGGTGTCCAGACAGCCCCAATGAGGTCAATGTTGGGATATCCTCCAGGAAATCAAGGTCATTCTCTGTTAAACCAAGTCCAAACAGGTTTAGATGTGTCAGACGATTAAATGTTGTACCAGTAACTTTAAAGAAACACTTGGTAAACGATATGACAGTTTCAGCTTGCATTGATGATTCTGTGTGGACATTCAAAGTATAGTGTGTTAATGCAGGGAATCGGAGATAACCTAAAGCTGTGACATTGTATTCATCCACTTTTGCAGCATCAGTAACGACTGTGTCTTTCTCTGGCTGATTGAACTCCTCATTCACGCCTGAGAGGATGTTTGTACTGTCTTCGTCATGCTCTAACCTGCAATTTGGACTAAAAGAGATACGTATAACCTTTAAAGAATTACACAATTTGTGAAAAGCAGGAAAAGAGTCAGACTTTGTGTTGTTTAAATCGTTGCAGAACTGGCAATAGCAGAGATCTAAGTACTGTATCGGCTGGTCAAAGACAGATGGTGGAAGGGAGCCACACAATGTATGTTCTTGTTGCAGAAACATTCGTCTTAATGGTGTCTTGTTTGGATCGCCGAACAATGACAACAGCTTAATAAATTTGGCCTTGTTCTTAGTCCCTAGATATCTCTCTATGTAAATAAACAACATGTTTGATAAGTTCATTGGAAAGGATGGCATCCCTGAAAAATTTGTGCAGAAGTCTGTGTCTCCTTCATCTTTTGAATTTCTCACTGCTGATCTTGTGAGGGTGTCTATGTTATTAGCACAGTACCTCACACACATATGAAGAAGGGGATCAATCTTTGTGGATGAAGGATTGCTCATTTTTCTGATGATTTCTGAAACAAAATTTTATAAATAGTTTAAAATTGTGTAAATATAAATTTTAAAAAAAAGTCAAATACAACAAATGACTTTGAAATTAACTGCTTTCATCATTCAATTACACTACATTCCTGAACATAAATCTGTTTCGTTTTTAAAAAAGTCATATAAAAGGTAATATATACAAGTAAATATTTTTAAGCAGATATGGAGTGTTAGATGAGAGATTCATAGGTGCTTTGCCTTTTATGTTATGAATATACACGATACAATTTGTTTTTGACTGTTGACTTTTCAGGTTATATTTTTCTTACTACATTTACCCACTCCATATGGTGATCAAAATGATTTCTACACGGTACCAACATTATATATAGCCTGTCTTTGTAAATGTATAAGTATTACATGTGATGCGATACAATATATAACTCTCAAGAGGTACAAAGTATGTCATCACATATCACCCATCAAAATCTTGTAATGTGGAAGTTTGTCTCAGAATATGCGAACCTGTGTTTTTATATCATTATTTAGAGTTGAACATTTAGACAACGTGAGGGAGGAAAATAGAGGGACTCAGACATCGACAACTCGATCAGCGGCATCAAGTGGCTTAGTCATCTACATCTCACTGTGGCCTCTGGTTTCAATTCCGAATCTCTCCGGTCTCTTTTTTTTCTCCTCTTCTCCTACTAAAGAAACAAAATTTGACAAGGCCACAGGGTGAAACAAATGTTACATGGTATGAGAAAGAAAAAAATGTAACGGACGTCATTATTTTTCCAATGACTCGGCAGGCACTACGTATTTAACTAAGCAGGTATATATGGTTACCCATAAATAACAAGCTTAAAGTGAAAGTAGGCAAATATTTGATTTTTTTTTCTATCTTCAGCTGTCCCATGATAACCACTGAATTTACAATCAATCAGCAGAGTCTATTTTTGTGATCTTTTCATGTGTCTCATAATAAAACTGTTTTAATTTACCCGTATCAGGAAATCGGTCTTCGAATGGGAGCTCTTCCTTTAGGCTAAACAATTTAGAGCTTGCAGAATGTCCCACTCCTTTCGGTATCGTAGATTACTCGAATGAATAATTTCCGAAAGATTCCGAAGGAATTGATAAGTGGCGCGCCTTCTTTACTGAGGCCAAGCGAAATTTGTCAAATAATAGCTGATCGAAAACTTATTGCAAACGTTTCTAGGGTCAGGATGTTTCTGCCTATGTCCGAAAGTACACTTAAACTTAATTTTAAAAACTAATATGTTTATTTTCGATAGTGTCATAATTTAGAAAAATGTACTAAATTTCAAAACTGGAACAACTGGTTTAACCACCATCCTCTATTCGGAATGTCTGAGGCGATCAAAATACAAGAAACGGGACATGAAGGGTTTGTCAGTGATTTATCGTACGGCCGTTTCTTTGGGGGACAGGGTTGTCCCTGCTCGCTTTGCCGATACATGGAACCATCCAGCAGGTGACTTGTAATCATAGTGTCATTTGCATTTGATTTCAAATGGAACATTTAAATGATAATCTACCCGTAATTTTTGACCTTCGCGATCCATGACGCCGACCGTCTCTATTGCATTGAAAAGAAATATTTACCTCGTTTATCCTGCTATAGACCAGAGGGCTATCATGGAACTTATGGCTCAATGTCAGGGGCAGGCTTTGTTCAGGACAACAAAACAACTTCTCTCCCCCCCCCCTTTAAAAAAAAAAAAATCTGTTGAACAGCTATAGGCATTTGTAACCTAAAATGACGAATTTTAAATGTTCATAATTAAAGAGTAGTCTGCCTTTTGAATTTTGATTTACATATCTGAAGCTCAATCTTTATCAAAATGTGTAGGTATATGTATATAGTGCTGTACATATGCTTAATAGTATCGATACTCATGTCAAATAATAACATACATATATACTTACATGTATATTTTCCAAACGGCTTTTGTTTCGTTATTTCAGGTCCAAAAACAATATTCTTCTGGGCTCCATCATTCAAATGGGTAAGTGCTAACTTACTGCTAATGTTTAGGTTATAAAGCTTTGATAAATCAGCAAAAACAGGACATAAACAGGACTTTCATTATGTATCATAGTAATGTGCACATTTTAAGAGGAAAGTTTATCGTATTTCATTGCCAGTAGATATGATGGGATTTCTCCTTGACTCATTTATATCCGATGTTTGACAATGTCCTTGTTGAGGGACATCATTAAATGTCCGATAAAAATGAGTCTTAAGAAGGAACCCCTTATAGATTAGCCTTTTTTCCAGTATATAAATGGAAACAAAGTGATTTGCGGTTCTTTCAAAACAATTTTTCAGAGAGAACCAATAACATTAATTTTATATTGCCTAAGGACACCACTGAGCCTAGATGAAGGAAGGTTTGACATTACATACCAGTCCTATTCAGTTTTTTGTTTGTTTGTGTCAGGCTCTTGTGATTGCTGGAATTGGTGACATAGCCCGTCCTGCTGAAAAACTCAGTACATTTCAGTCTGGTGCCTTAGCAGCCACAGGTAAATGCAAGAAGTTTCTGCCTTTAATTTTTAACATGATTAAAAAAAACTATTTTTGATCCACTTATTGGCTTTATACATGACTAAATTCTGTAAAAGACTATTTTTTATCTCAAATTATCAAAATGTTCAGTATTTTGCTCTTTGTGCCCCCATGGATTCTTCATGGTAATTATTTTTTGAGCATAACTAATAAGGTTGAGATACCTGCACTAAATGACTGCATTGTCATTCGTATATAATTAAAAATTTTCCTAGCATCTTATTTCTAAGAATAGCACATCACACAAGTTGATCTTGAAATGATTTATGAAGCAAACCATTATTTATGCGACTTGATATGAAGTTTTTCTCTTGATTTTATTACATACAGGTATTATATGGGCCAGGTACTCTCTAGTTATCATCCCCAAGAATTACAACCTCTTCTTTGTAAATATATTTGTGGGTGCTACAGGTATTCTGCAGCTCTCCAGAATCTACATGTGGGTATCATTTGAAATTCATATTTTTTTTAAAGTTTATTTACGTTTTAAGCCTCTAACTATTGATCTGGTGAAAGGAATAGCTGTCAAAGAAATATTTTGAATTTCAATAAATATTTCTAATTTCATTAGATATTTCTAATTTCAATAAATTACTAGATCAGTAATCAAAATTTTCAATATGAAATTTGTGTAAGGCAAATCAGACAACAGTTTCATTGATTGATGGATATTAAAAGTCTCACATGTGTATAACCATCTTAAAATCTGTTTGTTTCATTTCAGGTACAAAAAATCCCTTAAAAACATTGACAGTGAATTAAAGTGAACATTTTTTAGAATGTGCAAAGAGACGATACTCAAGAAAATCACATTTTCATCATTTTAATTAAACAGAATTGGTTTTATACCAGGAATTTGACAATTAACCACATTCCACCTGTAAAAAAAATAGAAACAAAATATATATCACTAATATTGTTGAACTGAAGAATGCAAGTTCTTCACTGCGACATTCTTTCCATGAAGGCCTTACACCAAAATTGTTGTAGAATGTGATTTATCAAATGGATATATATACATATTTGGGAGTTGAGGTGGATTGATTTCATCAAACGAGAAAAAAAAAAGTCACTCAAGTATGGCGTTTTGACACGTTTGTTACACAATATAGTTAAACATAGTATGTATTGATTAAAAGCTCAAAGGTGTGGTTGTGATATACCAGGGCATATATTTTGTAATCAGTTAAATTGGGTGAACACTGGGATGGTTACTATATACTTAATCAAATGATGATAGTTTTGGAAACTAATGAGGCTGAATGAATCCAGTCTAGAGGCAGAGTAACTGGTTTATGTAATGTTGGGGAGTTTTATTGCAGGACAAAGAGTCTCCAAGAACTTTTGCATTTGGCCTTTTCTTTAGTTGGTGGTAAACATTTGACTTTTTTTTTTCACTTTTCAAAAAATCTTGAACATATTTTGATGTAGAATTTCATAGAAACCTTCCCCGGTCAAAAATGAAGCAAAACCTTGGATATGAACCCCCATACCCAGGGCACTAATGAACAAGGGTCATTTGGTGTCACATGGGCTAAGAAATATTTTTTAGACCAAGATATATTAGAACTAAACACTCTTTATGGAAGGAATTGTACTTCATCACATAAATAATGGATTTCATTATACCTAGATCCTGCATCCTCATCCTCATTGGGAGGGTATACAATTTACTATGGTTGATATAAACAAACCACACCATTGGAAATAAATAAAATTTTGCAGTTTGGCTGCATGTGAACTTTGACACTGACCAACACTTAAGATTGAGGGGCGTGGTCAAAGAGGTTAGTTTAATAACATTTAGTAATGTTAAAAAGGAGGAAAAATCAACCATATCAGGTAACTTGGGTGAAAAGCAAGCCTCGCAGGCCACTGGCTGGTATTTCAGGCCACCAGCTGGTATTTCTAGTTAACTGCCTTCAATACAGGACCTATTAATTACCATTAGATAAACATGTTAAAAACTTTGATAATGGGACAACATTATTAGTTATTGTTAAGTTTACCAGTGTGAAGAGCATTTTTACAAAATATGTCACAGAAGTGCTTATTTTTTTTAATAATTTAGTATTTAAATGTGACTTTTTTTTTTAATCTTCCCTGATCTCCCAGATTATAACTCATATTGAATCTCTAAACAAATGCTCATACATTTTTTGTTATTTTCTCATAATGATGATGTTACCCTATATGTTTAACCAGAAAACTTATAACTGTTAAGTGGATTTTTCTTCATTATTTGCTGGAGATGTGGCATTAGCTGTTACTCCTGTGTTGTACATTCACTACATGTACTGATTAGATTAACAAGAATTGATATAAAACCATATATAACATGTTCCATATATTTAACTTGAGTGATTGTGGTAAAATTAAATGAATGAAATAAAAAGTTTTTTATCTTCATTTTTAATGACAAATCTCAAAAAGTAATTTTCAGCTGAAGTTTGAAAAAACAAAAGCTGGAGTACAAGTTTAAGAACAAAGCATAATTTTTTTTTATTTGTAAGAACAAATCCATCACAATGCAGCCAGATTTGAACAATTATATTGATACTATTTCAATAAAGAAATTCTCCAAAACTGGAATTAACCACTTGGTATGAAGCCAAAAAAAGAAAAGGAAAAAAAAGGTACAGAGATGTACTTTTACTTTAAAGACAAATTTTCACTTTGTTCTACTGTTATTTTCTTTGGTATGTTTTTTTCTCTCTAGTTTCTTTCAATAAAAGCACACTTGAATCTCTTTAAATTTATTAAAATATTACGCAGTATGAGTTGTAAAGTTATAATTTCAATGTTGAGAAATTAAACAAATGTATATATTCACACATGTATATATTCTTAATGCATTTGTGAGGCAAAAATAAAATGTGTTGAAACCACTAGTAATGTGTTTGTCATAGTCTAGTAACAGTGGCACTTCTAAGCAACACACTATCATAAGATGAAACAGCCTTACTTCACAAAACAAAAAAAAATCAAGAGGCCCATGGGCCTAAACGGTCACCTGAGGTCTTAAGGACAGTCTCGGAACCTGTCCATCAGTCCCAGCATTAAGGCAGACAGAACAGAACTGATATATGCATACTTAATTTTCAATTAAACGGAACTGATAACACTTTGTTTTTGTAGTTAAGCAGATCTTAACACATTTGACCTCTGTGACCTTAAAAGTAGTTCAAAGGTAATTCATTTGAACAAACTTTGTAGCCTTTGATCCCAGCATGCTACTGGCCCAAATATCATGACCCTGGGCTTTTTGGTTATTGAGAATTAAAAAATTGTTAACTCACAACACACAAACAAAAGACAATTGCAATAGGTCTCGAGTGACCTAAAAACCCTGTGTTATTTTAGCCAGTAGTATGTTGAGGTAGTGGGCTTTAAAGTTAGTTACAATGGATGACTTTGACCACTTTAAAGGCTACTGGGGTTAGTGGGTGTTTAAATCCAAGTTTGTTAATAACCAAAAGTAATTAGTTGTAGCAGAGGGCTTTCAAGTTAATTCAAATGCATTACTTTGACCCACTATAAAGGTTACAAAGGCTAATGATGGTTCCTTCTCAAGAACCAATGTGCAACAGTGTCATGTTTGACCTTGAGCTTCTGGGGTGGAAGGGTCTAAACTCGTTATAATGGGTGATCTTGTCTCACTTTCAATGTCTCAGGGATAAAGGTTTTAAAATTAGCAAGTGTTTTCAAACAAGCATGCCAAGTATTCCTTTAGCACATGTCCCCTACCAGCACTCAAAAGCTATAGTGTTGACAATGATTTCCTAAAAAACGATAATTGTGACCTTGACCAAAAATATTATATGCTCTGCAAGTATATTAAGATTAATGAGAATCCATCCAGGAATATTTCTAAAAATAGCAAGGGACCTTGACCACTTGCAAATCACTTTCAAATTTCATGAAATTGACTTTACTGAGAAAGTCTTCTCTTTTCAGAGTAGTAAAGCAGGCCAAATAGGCCTAGTGTTACTCTGACAAGTTGTGTGGAGTAGCCTAATAAAATTTTGATAATGTTTTACAAGGAAAATTTGAGCTAGCAAATATATTCAAATTTTCATGAAACCTGAATATATTTATATGTGCTTGTAAAATTGTTGAAAAATAAAGAATATCTAGTTTGAATTATTTTTCATATGATTAAAGAAATACAGACAAATGCAAAGTCCTTACATACCAATTTATTGTGTACATAATCATTAACACATGACATTCTAAACGATGAAAAATTACATGTCATAATTACCACCTGGATTCAGTTCCTTAAAACCAGATTTCACAGCATGTTGAACAATGTTCAATAGCAGAAAAAATTATGCACACATATTTCTAGTTTAGGGCACAAATTGGGACTTGGTAAGAAATTGATGGCTGGTTTGTGAAGTCCTCATATGTGTTAGTGTAACTGTGTTACCTATATAACTATTCAGATGGGATAAAACAATTATCACGAATGTGATATATATTGATCGATTAAGTAAAAGAGGTGCTAAATCTAAGTCGAATTCAGCATCTGTATAACATGAATTCTGGAGAGAAGCCCAATTTGCATACAGTATTTTTTCCAAGGAATACTCTTGGTACCCAGAAAGGACAAAACAATTCCTCTTGGCTTGCTCCTCACAAACTTTATTGAGTGGGCAAAACATACATTTTCACCTTGATTTCCTAAGTGGTCTAATAAGCTGTAGGATTACAAATAAAAAAACAAAATTGAGAGTAAAGTGTCTGTAGGTGTGTTGTAGGGGAAATAACATACGGAAAATATAGGAGTGTGTTGATAGAAAATGAAAAAGAAGAATCTAACGGAGAAAGAACAAGAGAAAATTGAGCATAAAATAACAGAAAGAATGCAATGTAATGACAAACCTGTTTAGGAAGAAAACCTATCATTGTATGGATACAATGAGATTTCATGCTCCAAATATACACTCACGATGATGATATAGGCATATCATGTCTTCTTATTCTTTCAATCTCCCATTATTCTTCACAACTGAATTAAAACTTGACAGATGTTGTAAGATAATTATTACATATGTATCTCAGTAATGATTGATCAAGTCTTGTGTGGGATACTGAAGAACTTTATAGTATGTTACTTTAACATGAAAATACATACCGAGGTAGGATGAAGAATGTTGATTATCATGAATCCAAGACACCATGAAAGTCAATGATGATGATTGGTAATTATGATGACAATGAAAATGAAGACTGACGAAGATGATGATGATGTTGATGAAGATGATAATAAAGATGGACAATGATAATGAATGGTGAATGTTGTGACTGATGATGAATTGTGATGATGATGAAATGAGATATCTAGCAATGTCAACATCATGATGCTCAGCTATGTGACATCAAGTACAATGACAAATTATCGTTGACAAGGGTTAAGTTCAACAATGAAGCTGATGGTGATTATAGCCACTCATAATACCTGGTGTTAATAACATGGAAAAGATGATGATGATGATGATGATGATGATGATGATGATGATGATGATGATGATGGTGATGATGATGATGATGATGATGATAAATGGTGAAGATAATAATGATGCTGCTGATAATGAAAAATGAAGAAGATGATGAATGGTAGTGATGATAATGATGAATGGTGGTGATGAATGGTATTGATGATGATGATGATGATGATGATGATGTTGAATAGTGATGAGGTATGGTACTGATGAGGATAATGTATGATCATAATGAACAGTATTAATGATGAAATTGAATGGTGATGTTGATGAATGGTGTTGATAATAATGAATGAAAGGTATTGATGATGTTGAATAGTGATGAAAAATGGTACTGATGAGGAAAATCTTACGTGATGTCATTATACTGACAATGACGTTATATCATGAATTGACTTACGTGATGTCATTATATTGACAATGACGTTATATCATGAATTGACTTACGTGATGTCATTATATTGACAATGACGTTATATCATGAATTGATTTACGTGATGTCATTATATTGACAATGACGTTATATCATGAATTGATTTACATGATGTCATTATATTGACAATGACGTTATATCATGAATTGATTTACATGATGTCATTATATTGACAATGACGTTATATCATGAATTGATTTACATGATGTCATTATATTGACAATGACGTTATATCATGAATTGACTTACATGATGTCATTATATTGACAATGACGTTATATCATGAATTGACTTACATGATGTCATTATATTGACAATGACGTTATATCATGAATATCATGAATTGACTTACGTGATGTCATTATATTGACAATGACGTTATATCATGAATTGACTTACGTGATGTCATTATATTGACAATGACGTTATATCATGAATTGACTTACGTGATGTCATTATATTGACAATGACGTTATATCATGAATTGACTTACGTGATGTCATTATATTGACAATGACGTTATATCATGAATTGATTTACGTGATGTCATTATATTGACAATGACGTTATATCATGAATTGACTTACATGATGTCATTATATTGACAATGACGTTATATCATGAATTGATTTACGTGATGTCATTATATTGACAATGACGTTATATCATGAATTGACTTACGTGATGTCATTATATTGACAATGACGTTATATCATGAATTGACTTACGTGATGTCATTATATTGACAATGACGTTATATCATGAATTGACTTACGTGATGTCATTATATTGACAATGACGTTATATCATGAATTGATTTACATGTCATTATATTGACAATGACGTTATATCATGAATTGATTTACATGTCATTATATTGACAATGACGTTATATCATGAATTGATTTACATGTCATTATATTGACAATGACGTTATATCATGAATTGACTTACGTGATGTCATTATATTGACAATGACGTTATATCATGAATTGATTTACATGATGTCATTATATTGACAATGACGTTATATCATGAATTGACTTACATGATGTCATTATATTGACAATGACGTTATATCATGAATTGATTTACATGATGTCATTATATTGACAATGACGTTATATCATGAATTGATTTACATGTCATTATATTGACAATGACGTTATATCATGAATTGAAAATTGTGCACCAAAATGGTGGCCTCTTCTTTAGATTCAACTTTAGACTCAAAACATAAAATCTCCCACAAAAAACTCATTTAAGATCCTCTATATGCGAATCTTAGATATAAAAGCATTTGCTAAATATTTCAAAGTCATATGTATTCACATTACACATTACATTTGGTTATAGAAAATTTGAGTAATTTCAAACAGAGAATTCAGTTCGTGCAAGCCTGAATAACTCTCCCAGAAATTTAGCACTCGTTTAAGCACAGGCATATAAGTTAACAATAGAACAATAATTTAAAAACAAAACCCAGTCCTATTGTCATCGCCAGATGCGTAAATTCTCCAAGAAAAAGAGTTCACATTCCCCACATATCCAGAGGTAAAATACATAGTATAATTTTCAAATATCAAGTTCTAACAGTCATTTCAAGATGAATCTCCCCCTTCCCCCCCAAGGAAAGAATTCACAGAGAGCACTATGAAGTTATTTAGGATGGTGGCTCCAACTGTTTGAGGATTTCCTGGTTTTCCTGGGCCTCTCTTCTCACCTGTAGTAATATTTGCTCGGACTCCTGACACAGGTCAGCAAATCGACCCTGGAAAGATAAGTGCTGCATCAGTATTTTCTCCATTTTCTTAAGTCCACTATGATCCTTGATTTATTTCACAACTGAACCATTATCTAAATTATGTAAGTGTTCTTGGTTGAATCATAATAGCAGCACAATGCATAAAGGTATGTGATCAAAATGCAAATGTCACAATAGTATAATTCCGTAATGTTATAACATTACAAAGCAGTAAGGTCATTTACATAAGTCAGAGGATACCAAAGCACATGTTCTGTAATGTAAGTATATTTAAATTCTCAGAACTATTATCCATTTCATTGGCATGTGACAATTTCAAAATATACCTGTATTTTTTCCAAGTGTGTAGTCACAATTTTTGTGGTATCATTCATAAATCTGCGATAGGCCTTCTCGGTCTCTGCTATTTCCATCTTGCTTTGTTCATATCTAAGGATGGAGAAGAAATCATCGCTTAAAAACCTCAATAAGATGTTGTTTCATAATTAATAATTTTACTTATTTCATACACGGACTTTATAGAAGTTCCAGGAAACTGTATTAGTGGAAACACTGAGTTCATAACGAACAACATGGCAGTAACATCCAAAAGAGAGATCAACTTAGCAACAAGACAGAGTATAGCGTAGCATTTATACTCCCCAAAGGGTATGTATACATTCTCAGTGTAGAGAGAATATCTAGAACACTAGTACTTTTAACAGATTTAAGATCGAGGTCAAGGTCAAGACATTTAATTTCATTAAACAACAAACCTCCAAACGAAAGGTGCATCAATGGTGCAACATTGGCAGCATTAAGCCAAATGGTAGAGCAAATATGACCTAAACAAGCTAGTTATATGACAAGGACCAGAGGTCCATGTGAAGGTTTCAATGACTTGATTTCACTATGACATCCCAAGATGCATTCATACCGTGGCAGTATTAGTTCTCATTCAAATGATATTGGAAATATAGATCAAACAACATACTTCTAGGTTGAAAGTGAAATTTAGGTCACAGAAACCTAATTTATTACATCAAAAAAATTGTTTGACTGTGATGTCGCTTTAAGACAGAACAGATTTACTGTTACCTTCTAATTTAAAGTACCCTTAGATGAGATTATTAAGTATATTGGTATGCAAACTATGTATAAATATGGAATTTTCTAATGCAGATCAAAGGTCAAGGTAACATGGTTAAAACCGGAAAGGGCTAATTTTGTTATGGGCAATGTTGAAATAATTCAAATGTAGGTCAAAGGTCAGTCAAGGTCACATGGTCCAAAATTTTGGTACTACCAGAAAGGTCTTGTCACAAAGAACACAAATGCCAAATACGAAAGTCCTATCTCTTACACTGCAATAGTTATGGATAAGGATAAAGTTGACAACAGACAAACAAACAGACAACACAAAAACAATATACCCATGACCTTTCAATCCAGTGGCATAAAAAAGCTGCATTTTGCAAACATATTCTCAGCTGCAGAAAAACAAATTTTTGACAGATGATAAAAATGATTTACACTCAGGGTTTTCCATAAGAGCCGGTCGCCGGCCAATTTGACCGGCTGCTTTGATCATTTGGCCATCCACACCAATCCAGTTCCGTAATAATGTTCCGTACAAGACTACATGTACACGACAGGCCGGCCTCCTACTTTCACTACACAGCCTACTACTAACAAAAGTATGGAAAACCCTGTACACTTGAATAAACAAAAAGTACTATGATAGGGTTTTACCAATGATATGTACAAGACATTGAAAAATGAGAAGCATTGATAGCAATGTTCTGATTCAGTCTACCCTTTCAACTGAAACATGAATAAAAAATGCCATCACTAACTATACTACAAGTAGTCCGTCCTTTACTGAATTCTTACTCTTTGTATGCATTTTTGAGATCCCTGTTGGCATCTTGTAAACTGAGCTGGGATACAGTTTGTAATTCCAGTAACTCTCCTTGTAGGCTTTCTATCTCCTCTTGGGCCTGCTGGAATTCACGCTGGTAAACCTGATAAGAAAAAAAAACCATTTGTAAACCGAATTATTAAAAAAATCATCTGTAAACCTGGAAATACAAGCCAATAGTTTATCTGATAACACAATCCAGTGGTAAATCTAGTAACATATACCATTGGTTAACCTGATAACACAAACCATCAGTAAACCTGATAACACAAACCATCACTTAACCTGATAACACAAACCATCGGTAAACATAATAACAAAACCTTTGTAAATGTGATAACACAAATTATCGGTTACTATGGTAATTCAATGCTGAACAATGCTGTTTGATTGAGAATTGATAGGATTTTACTAGTGCAGTTTTTAACATGTATTACTTGTTTTTTACACTCCAGCTCATCTCCCATGCGTTTACTGCGACTCTCCAGCATGTTGATATCATCTTTCATTTCATTGACATACTCATGCACCTGAAAATAAACAAATGGTATCATCATTGAATTTCATTCTTATTTTTCAGATAATACATCACGAAATCCAAAATTGATTTTGTTTTTTTATCTTCTTCTTTTTTTTCCTTTTAGGAACTGTTAATGGCTTAATGACATACATAGTTCCTGTATAAGATCAGCTGGTAATTTATTCAAACTTTCAACACCAGGAAAAAGTTATTTTAAAAAAAACCTGGAAAGAAGAATATGAAATCAAAATAAACAGAGGTCTCAGTCAAGTGAACAAGTCTCAAATCCAGCCAGTACTGCTGACCATCAACACCAAAATGAACAAAGGTCTCAGTCAAGTAAACAAGTCTCAAATCCGGCCTGTACTGTTGACCATCAACACAAAAATCTCATCACAAGGAGGCTGATATTACAAAACAATCACATAAATAGCATTCAAATACATGATTAATCTGTCAAAAGTTTCATGAGATATCTTGTATACATTGTGACAAGCTTTTCATCAATGGATGCACAGGTAGGTCGAATACAAACGGACATAAGAAAACTTTTGGAGTATTCCTTTAATATTTGTTTCTTCTAGCATCAGGTCAAGGGCCGGTATGGAAATCTAAAGGAATATGAGGTATTAGAAATGAAGAGAACAGTGTTCCTTGCGAGGAAGTTAATATTGGAGAAGATATCAGTTCTTTCCTCACCCTTTACATACAAAAATGTGTCATTTGAAAAAGAGGTTCTATTTTTTAGAAACTGATTGATTTGTAACTAGTTATAGAAATTTTAAATATTTTCAACATCTCTAACTATTTTATAACAATTTCGAAAGCATATGATAGTAACATACATCTGGTTGAAGTCCTACATTTAGTATTAAGTGAAATTACATGAGCAAATCTGAGGTCAGAATTGCTATTACGAAATTTAGTCTAAACCAAATAGAAAAATTTGTATCAAGGATTGGCCACACTGATACTTTCATTACAATCACCCTGATACGCCATCTTCCAAATTCAGTTAAAATGTTTCGAGCTTTATCTAAGAAGTAGAATTTTAAATTCAAGCTAATCAATTCAAACCTAGTTTTCACCTCCACTGAAGCAGATCTAAATTTCCATAATTGGTATATTCAACCTCAAATTTCTACACAAGATCTTGAGCCATAAAAGTTTTACAGGAAATAATCAACAGGACACAAATAAATAGACAAAACACCACAACTCCGACCTTTTAACATACCGAGATAAAACTAAAAAATGCCTGTAAGACATGAATGCCCCCCCCATGTGAAATAATAGTGAAAGGTCCGAAAGAGATGATTTTGTTAATTTGTATGCAACTATGTACAACTTAAGTTTCATACTTAAATTGACAAGTTGATTTAACGTACATGAATTTGCAATTTTGTTCTCTGGAAAAAATGAGGGGGTATATTAGTTCCTTATGCCTTAAAACCCACAAGTACCAAATTATGTAGAAATAAGATGATGTTCCTCTTTTTTGAGTTATCTCCCCTGGTGGCCATCTTTTTTTTAGAATGCCGAGAAATTCAACACTGCATGAGGTCTTTCCATACTTGATATTTGTATTAAGTTTCATGAAAATTACCTTCCGAATGAAGTTGTTAGGTGGTATATACTGATTTGGGACGGGACGGGACAGGACGGGACGGACGGACATGGGCAACGCTATATGCCCCCGGCCATAAATGGCGGGGGCATAAAAATACAGCTTCACTTATGCATTTTCAAAGACTAAGCACTACATAAATAGGCACTTGACACATTCACAATAAAAGAGTTCTTATATGTCTTTCAGACATGGTTGTTGTGTACCTGTTCCAGAGACTCTTGGACCCGCATCATCTCTGTGGACTTGGTGTGAACAGAGGCACTACATTGTTTCTTCAGCTGTAGAAGGGCAGGCTGTAACACAAAAACACGCTGTAAGTATAGTGGATATTAGTACACTCAATAATATTCATTTAATCAGAACTAAAACTTATCAGTTTATGAGCTGTTGACAGAACTATAAACAATATACAAAAGGCCCATGGGCCTTAACGGTCATCTGACATAAAATATAAGATTTCAAATTTTGAACTTGAGAAGAAGTTGAAAATGTGTTTTCAAGATGGCGGTCATGTTGGATTTCGGACCAACCCGAAATGAACAAACTTTGGTCAGGATCATGTCACGATCATTTCAGGTAAGTTTCAGCTCAATGAGACATGTAGAACTTGAGAAGAAGTTGAAAATGTTTACACCGGATGACGCCGGACAAAAGGCGATCGCAATAGGTCATCAGACCCTTTGGTCAGATGACCTGATAACCATACCCTTTGAATGTCTCATTTCAAGAAACAAGCAAAGAAATTGTGTGACAAGTGATAAAGTTTTCATAACGTTGTAAAAGGCAATTTAATCAGTGGAATGAATATTGAAAGCAGTAAAATTAGAAGTACAGTGCTACCAATGTATTACCTTTATCGTATCGGTGAATCTCGAGTCCATGTAGCCTAAGTAGGATGGCTTCAGCTCATAGTCTACTCCGTAAGCATTCTCCGCTGACAAAGGTATCAGTTTGAGTTTTTGAGCCAGCATGTTGTAATCATTACATTGTTCCTCCAGCTGTAAAATAATGAAGATTTTACAGTTTTCAGTGTCAACATAGAGTTGTTGATCTTGATATACGAATGATGGCCTAGTCTGATGGTTGCAATCACAAAGAACAAATTTGGTGATTTTCTTTCAATAATTCAAAAGTCAATTGAAGAAATTTTAATATAATCTTTATTCTACAACAAATGTGAAACAAGCTATCCGTTTATATTAATCCTTTTTGTGACTTGTATGGAAATGTGCAAGGAGTCTTACTGTGACCCACCTTTTCACATTCGCTTGGGAAATTAAAACTTTGACTGATTTGCTTACTGATAAATACCAGATATGTTAATGTAACCAGGATTGTTGACTGCAACTTGTGGTGTTATAAATCAGACACTATATAATGTCTACATGTATAATTTCTCTCTCCCACCCAAACTTTTCTTCATAAAGCACTAGCTTTACTGACCAGAGTATGTTAAGCTCGAATGACAAACATGTTTTCCTACTTGTTAGAATCTCTAATTAAAAGCTTGGACCCTGGTAAGCATTGTGACAGTATAATTGTACTGTGAGGAAGTGTGAACCTGTGCATTGGGGCATAGCAGTAGGGTAGTGTTGATATGTAGTTAATTTCTATAATGTGCCATTTATGTAAAAGGTCATGTTTGTCTGCCTCAATGATAATAATCAGTATTGAAATCAATCATTATGCTAAATGTTAAGATTCACCTTTTCATGTTCTTTCGACAGCTCCATTTCCTTTTGCCAGATTTCCTTGTCTGTCTCGGATTCCCGTCGTTCTGCCTCTTGTCTTTGTCTTTGTAACTCGCGCCCATTTAATTTGATACGTTCTACATCTGCTTGGGACAGTTTCTGATCCTCAAACATTGCATTCATCCTTTGTTTGTTGGATTCTGCACACTTTGCATCAGCCACTGAAACCATTAAATCACCTCAAATTATCTTAGGCATTACAGAAATGGGACCTAGCAACTTCTAACCTTGGTACTTGAACTAATCCACATTCTGCGACACAACAGCTATACAGAGTCAAACAGACCATGATCTGTTCAAGTTTTATGAGCAAACAGACCTGATACTTATCATCACATAGCAATCATCAGAGACATGTTAAGAGGAGATTTCTGATGTGATAGGAGGTCATCATTGACTTCTATTTGTTTTTAATATGAATAAAAAAAAAATTCTAAGCTGCATCCCTGTTTATCATTGTATCCTTTGTATATATGTATCCAGCAATAACGTAAGAATCTTAATTAAAAGGTCATCTTGTCATAAACAAGTTATTGTAGTCAAAAATTAGAGCTGACCTTCCAAATTATTTTGTAGTAAAGATTACTCCCCTGTGTAGTTCTCCTACAGTATGTATGTATGTATGTATGTACAAATAGCCATTATTGTAGGGATTTAGGTATCACATGCTGATTGACAAATTAATAGCTAAGAAGACTATCACGTTTGAATTTTCCATATGCAAAGGCCCAGTAAAAAAACCTACAATAATTCTATACAAAAGCCTCCATTGAAAGTAGTGTCAAGTCATACCTTCCAACTTTTCAGAATTCTCATGGGGGAGAAATGCGTGTGAACAACATTTTTGACTCCCCATCATACCTCACGCATTGCGACATTTATCACAAAGGAAAAATTAATCGATGTATATTTAATCAATACTTCTAGACAATTTTATATTGATAAAGTGCTTTACTATACAATGAAAAAAATATGGAAGATATGGATCAAGTTGGAATTTATTCATTTAAATTCTCTGTACTCATTGAACTCAAAGGCAAAGGAAAGTTGGCAGAAATATATAGTATGGATATGTGCTATGTACTACCTTCAGTTTGAGGTTATTGTGTTAATAGGTCATGATAACAGTGTTTACAGTTCAGGCACCAAAGCAATAAGTTAGGAGAAATAATGAAAACTATAGTCTGGTTAGCACAAGATCATGATGAGTGTGGTAAGGTGAAAAAGTACCTAATTGATACCAGCCACTGGACCAGCTTTGGTGTAAGGATATATATGGTTTTAAGCTTGATAAGCCTCAAACATCAACTGTAACAGATCAGCTGAGTATTTGTTACTGTCTTCATTACCTCTCCTGACCCATCTGATAGCTGACTAGCCTGTCCACATTACTTTCAGCACCTCCACTGATGGATTAACCTGTTATCTGTGTGCTTCATCTTGGTAATGGATTTGCCTGCCACGCTACCTTCCCCTCTGATATTTCTGTTAATGGACCAGTCCATGTTACTTACATGCTTCATTCAGCTCCTCCTCTGCCTCTGCACACTGCTTTTCAAGTCCTTGCCTGTGTATGTCAATTTTGGACAGATGTTCCATGTAGCGCTCATCATCCAGTTTGAGCATATCTCTTGCCTCCTTTGTGGTTTTTAGGTTTTCCTGTAACATAAATGACCAATACAAAATCTTTCAACCTCTCACTGGTTCTTAGGATTGTCCTGGTAAACCATCAAACCCAGGGCACTCAGTTTGCCAAGGTGTAACTCATCTAGAATTCATTTAAATCTAAATTTGTAAACTCATCTAAACCTATTAGACCTCAAATTAGCCTTGCATTTTGTATTTTCAAACAAATGACAGGCCTCAGCCAAGAAATTCATAAAAGCAACGTTTTACAACATGTATATATACATGAACATACATAAACACACATAAATGAAGAGAGCTTGCATAATGGAAGTGTAAAAATTGTATTGCTTCATGAAAAATATTGGCAATATTGAAATCTGTAAATAATGTTATTTTGAAAACAATAAAGCATTGGAACAAAGGAAAGCAGGTGATTTGGATAATTTGTAAAGAAACAAACCATATCGTTTTCTAACAATTCCAATTCTGTTTGCAATCTTTTGTGCTCCATCTCCAGTGAATCATTTCCACCCGCTGTACCACAGTATCTCTCATCTGTCAACAAAGTATGAAGACTTCTCCCACTAGATACAAACAATACAAATATAAGCTCAGCAACAAATGCTACTGAGACTTTTTTCAAACAAATCCGCCATTCTCCAATGTACACTTAATTTATACAAGAAACTAATGGATGGACTACCACAACGGCACATAACTCACTTGTCCATGCATTTGTAAAAAATGAATGTAGCATGTGATATTCCTAAGTCCTTGCAAGTTTGAAATTTTTTATGGCAAATGTCAGAGAGACTATTTACCTGAATAAATGTGAAATATTATCATTACAGAATGGGTCAATTATTTTGTGAATCAGCACTTTGTCAGTTAGCTGATATACATTATTTATACATACGCATTTTCTTTTCAAGCTGTTCATCAAAGTCTTCAAAACTGTCTTGTCCAGCCATGTAAGCACTATATGTGTGCTCAAAATAGTAGTACAGAATCTACAAATATATGACATTATTTAAAGAAGTACATAAACACACTAATATAATTTTAAAGGATATAAAAGATGGAACTCTATAACATAAAAAAATTCCATTCAACAACAGTGGGACAAGTGTGATGCCATTTCTGTATTTGAAATGTAAAAATAACCAGCATCTGTGGAATAAAAGCCTATATTTTTAAAGGTAATCATCAGAATATGGCTTTTGAAAACATCAAAGGTATGTTACAGAAAGAAAATGTACAAGATTTTTGTTACAATGAACTTACCTTAGTCTCTGGGACTGAATTTTCAAAATCATCCTCTACAGAAGGGAAGTAGGAACTCTCAATATCTCCAGAAAGTCCCCACTAAAATTAAATCAAAAATGTTTCACTTCATGCATTATAGACAATAAGGAAATATTTGTATATTTGACCTTGTATAATGTATAGGCTATCAAAAGTAATCACCAGGGTAAATATCACGGCTTCAGATTTTATTAGCACTCAACAAGAATAAGTTTTTTTGGTTGTTGTTATAAGTGACAAATTTCCTTTTTTTGAAAATAAATCTCTTGCTTGTCCATATCATTAGTAAGAAATTCCTTCAGTTGTAGACCCATTTTACATTTTTGTTCTTGAAACACCAGACCTGCAGCTTTAGTAAAATGAATATGATGGTACCCTAATGAGGTTGATGAGCCAGTTGAGGCCAGCCAACAGTGTTGGCCATGTATGAGGGCTGCCCACAGAATGCATGGAACTCTTTGTAATGGTGAAAGGATAGCCAAGCTGTTTAAAAATCTTTGGCACATCATCCCTGCTAACTGAACACTTAGGATTCAGGAAACCATATATAAACTGAAAAAAAAATCATACAAATTTAATACAAATTTTGCATTCATCAATCAGGAAACTGGAAAAACTTCAATTTGATTTTGAATGGTATAATTAAACAGGAAGTGGGGTAAATGTTTGAAAAATAGTGATACTCTTAGCTACATTTAATGATTAATATGAAAATTTGGTGCAAAGACAGAAATGTATTGCATTGTGGTTAAAAATTGGTATAATATGACTTATATATATAAAAAAAACAGTCACAGGGAAGAAAATGCTAAATCTATATTTCATATTGAAAAATCATCCTTTAAAGTTAAAAGTATAGTGTGAAAAGACTTGAGCAGGTATTCATTTACATGTATAGCATGTATGAAAATAATTATCAAACCTCAAATATCTTCATGAAATCTCCACCAGTAGGTGACTGAAGAACCTTAGGAGAAATAGACTGGGGAAACTGTCTTTCCGTTAAAAACTGAAAATAAAATATTCTGAATCAACGGGACCAAAAGTACTCTTGCTGTCAAAAAAATTATGCTTGTTCAACAGAGTTCCTAAAGTTTTATGATATCTTTATACCAAATTTGATTAAAATTAGACAATATGTATTAACATTTTACTACACCAGTCCCCTTTATAGGGCAGCATTTTGTCAGCATTCCTGATGTCATACAATATCTGTTGACCTATTTATATCTAACTTTCAATCCATTAGAAGCCTGATGTCAGCAGCTATTTTGTCTTCAAAGTTGAAGTTATAGAGTGTCCTATTTAGATGCTTTCCACAAAGTTTCATTAAATACTTAAAACTCAGGGTGCGAAGACCCACCATTTTATTCATGATTGGTTTTTCCTTTACTTGAGGATGCTTCAGACCAATTTTGGGCAACGTCTAATAATTTCTACAAGAATAGTAGGATTTTCCCCCTATTTGGCCCCGCCCCTCAGGCAGATACCGACCAATCATATAAAAATTGTTCCCCTTTTCCCATGGATGCTTTTAAACAAACTTGGTCAAAATTTGCTCAGTCGCAAGGGCTGATACCAACCATTTATTCAAAATTATCCCCCTTTCACCAAAAGATGCTTTTTTCACCAAATTTTGTCAAAATTTGCTCAGTCGTCTATGACTGTAGAAAAACTTGACAGACTGTAGCGGCAGTATGACAAACTCACCAGTCCTTCAGACCAGGTAAGCTAAATATGAAGTACTTGTCCAAAATATCAAAAAATAGTTCCATGTGATAGTTTAGTCAATAGGCTTTGATGTATTTCCAAATAATACAATCAAATCTATCATTATGAAATGACAAGTCATGAGTGTAAGAACTTTTAATGACCTACTGTCTACATCAAGCAATTTTGAGTGGTCCCCAATATGGCCGCTATAGACAAGTTTGATTGTATAGATATTATATTTACCATTACAAGGTCTTTAATACAGGATTGTTGGTAGGATTTGTTAGATATTGGTCTTGGGTCTTTTGTAATGCCAGTGTGACCCCTCATCCCCATGCCACTGCCCCGAGACATCCTGAAAATTTAGTAAAGGTAAAGGCAAGAGAGATAATCATCTTTATATTCATGTTTTGTTCAAATTGTTTTCACCAAGTCATTATGTAAGTTTATTTCCTGAAAACTGAAAAGAATATGTGGTATACTGTGAATCTTACTCTCACATATTAGGCCACGAATTCATAATAATCTCCAATGTTTTTACTATGAATTAGTTTATGTATTTTTGCTGTAACAGTACCATTATGGAAAATAAAGCAATTCTGGAATATTGTAAAATTTAGAAAAATAATTATCAAGTTATACAACCACGAAACTTTAAGTATTATCATTTGGGAAAATATTGAAATATATTCAACACTTGTAATATACAGTTGTACTTAAAATTGCATTCAAAAGACTTTTTTTGAATTGGTTGATATGTTTACCTTTTCTTTTGCTGTTGGTTGGACCCATAAAAACTGTATCTTGACACAGAGTTACGATGGGCACCACTGTTTGAAGAGCCTTGTGAATATTGACTTGACCATTTTTGCTGTGGTATTCCACTCTTTCTGTTAGAATCTGTGTTGACACGCAATGGACCATCAGATATTGATGACCGCTCCTGGGATGATGCACGTCTACCATGAGATCCTGATGACACTGAGGAACGCTCCATAGAGGAGGCTCTTCTGCCATATGTACTTGATACTGACTTGCGCATTATGTTAACCCTGAAATCAAATTATACCAATTATTTTTCATAAAGTTATGTTGCAGTATACAAGACATTACTGTGTAAACTCATTACATTGGGACCTTTAGCTTACTCTAGTAAAAATGGTGAAAAAAACAGCATCTTATATTTAGAGGAGTTTTTATTCTACTTATAATTTTCAAGCATACCAAAAAATCTGCCAATCAATGATAACAATGTAAAAACGATACGCTTAGAAGGCAGATGTTCTTGATTAACAATAGTGCCCATTTTTTTCTCCAAAAACATTTCTATTTAAATATGGGCGCATTGGAAAGAGAGGGTACAGATAAAAACTGTCAAAATATTTCAAATGAAGACAGATGTCTTAAGTTGCAGGTGCGTGATTTGAAATATCCTAATACCATAGTAGGTGACATTTTCGTGTTATCAGCAGATTTTCGAAACAGATCTTGTTGATTTTGATAATAATGCAGAGCAAGCTATACATACAGCAATCCTTACTTATTTCATTTGTATTTTTTTGTACGGCAAAGTAAAATCAAAACAACCGCTCCCGCTTTTGCCCAGCTTCACGCATGCGTAGAAACCATGATATATGCGGGACTTACATATAATGGCATATTTTGATTTAAACCACAAAAGAACTCATTTGATCTCAATAAAACCAGGAAAAAATTGTGCAAGTATCGAATGACGACAAATATCTATTCTTAATGAATGGGTGTAAAAACAACGAATTCCGGAAATTATTCAGTGCGCATGTGCATCCGCCATGATAGCAAATATTTTTCTGAAAGGGAAGTTGTGTTAGTTGAAGTTGCAAAGCCTGCCAATTTCGCCTCTCCAATGCTCACTTTTCATACACCAGAGGATGTTAAAGACACCAATTCATTTAAATAGGTAAGTATTTCTTGTATTGTTGAACATCACACATGAGTACGTTTCTTGTTTCTTCTAGACAGGTGTTAACTTTTTTTCTTTAGTTCCTGAAGTTAGCAAAATAGAAACTGGCATTATTAGCTGATGTTTGTTTTGACATACGTCTGTGACTGTTGATTCAAGTTAGCCGGTACGCATCTACTGAAACAAATCCTTTTGCATGTTGTTAGGTAGTATATTTCAAGAAGTTTTGCTTAATATATTGTTATCACGACCAAAACATTGACGTATTGTCAAGGTTGTACAAACACGTCATGTTAACTTGTGTTATGGAAAAATGAAAATAAACAAATTATTATATGATTTGTCTGATTGTTAACTTATTTGTTTTGATAGGTTTTATGTTTTTGTTTTAATGATCAGTTGTGCTGACAGCCGGATTATGCCTGTCAGCCCCACATCAGAACGTAAACATATATCTGCTTCTCTAACATACAGGCCATATCAGATCAGCTGATTATACGTGTGCAATTTACAAATTATGATATCCAATCTATGTGTTTCAGTAATTATTTTGAAAGCAATTGTCTAACCATTTTTTATCTAGTGAATTTTTGGTAAATTTACATTATGTATTGTAAGTAAACATACATCTAATTCGATAATCTTTAATTATGTCACAGGTAGTAGTTTGATTGAGTGATTATGACTTATGTTGGCAAACATAGTGATGACTCATGACCTACATGTTCTCACTGCTATACTTCATTCATAAAACGGAAGTCATTTATAAATGTACTGACCACCTGATCAGTTTAGATGTATTACGATACTTTGTCAGTGTAATTAAATCTGTGACTCATTTTTTCAAAATGAAAATATCCAATCACATGTGACAAGGATTATCACTTAATTTTCGTATTCTCAAGATGACTGACAGACAATAAAATTTACAGGCTTTGTATTCTTCCAGCTTTAATCTGTTTTAAAAACATGAAATCTGAAAAGCAATTTGACAAATAATTTAGACTTTTTTCATTTCCATACTGCATTTCTGAAAAAAATGGCAAGGTTATGAAAATCATTTTTTCCTGCTAATATAAGATTCAATTCTTTGTTTTAATGAGGATAAAATGTTGTCAAGACCTAAATATAGCATCCTACTGTGACCAAGTCCACCTTCATCATTTTGTAGTAAAATTTGTGATGTTAATATTAGTGTTGACCTTCTAATGTTGTTAATGTATTACACTTATTAAGGATTGCCTGACTCTTTGGTTTTGTTGTTATTGATATATCATAGCTCAGATTGGGAGGAGAATAATCTTCTGTTTCGATTTAAATCATATAGCAATATCATTTTCATCAACACATGTTAGCTTCAGGACGACAGAATTTATATCATTCAAGCACACTGGTGATTTGTATTTTAACACATAGTGATACACAGAAATTTATAAATCAGAATTCGAACAAGACCACTACCTTGCAGTATATCTTAGTCAATTTGAATTAATGTTTTGACATTTCAAATTTATTTATGATAATGTAGGGCATATGATACAGTATTGTGTGGAACTCAAAATTTCATAACACAATATGAGTCTGTATATCCACCCATGGTAAATTTTGATTTTGACATTTGAAGTTTAATTTTATATCATAATTCCTCCAGTTTATTCTGATTCATGAAAATCTAGAGATTTGTTTGTAACAATTTATCTACATTAAAAACACAGGGACATTTTCCATCAAAATCATGCAAATAAAGGGACATTCCCAAATATGGCGTGTTTAATTTCCCAATTTGAATGAAACAATTAAGAAAAGTATACAACATTTGTCACATGACTTGTAGGTAGATTAATCACTGTTTTTAGTGCGAACTTTGTTCTTAAATAAAAACTCCATTTGAATCTGTTGAGGATTTTTATGGCAATGAATAGATGTTTCATGTTTTTTTTGTTTTTTTTTTTTGTGAAGGTTTCTTGTTGATTCTAAGTACTAAACTTATGAATATGTAGACCTGGTATAGATATATTGAATGTCATTTGATAATTTGTATTTGTTATTACTGATTTTTTTAAAGTATATCGGATCATGTGAAAAAAGGAAGCTAATGCATTGTACAGTGATTTTTATAAAAATGGGATAATGGTTCTTCAATCGTGACATATTTTAACAAATACTTCAATTCACAAGGAAGACTCCTTACATGTGTTTTAAAAGGGTTCCATTGGTTCTGTCAGTGTTTTTGTTTTTCTTGAAAAACTATTTATAATGCATTAACGTGAATATTTTGTTTAAATATAGAACTTTGCATGCAATTTACTTCCTCTTTTTTCAGTAACAAGTGTTTGTGTTTAGCCTGGTTATCCTGCAGGCTACAAAGGTGTTAAGTGTTAACATACATATTGATTGAGATAAGGCTTTGGTTGTAACTCTACTGACATATAATTGAATTGTAATCCATCTTTGTGCTCATAGTGTAATTTTAATGTCTGATTGCATAATGATATACACTAAAACCTATATAATACTTACAAGTACCTATACTGATAGATTACTATCCTATATAGTACTCTGGCATGGATTTGCCAAGGGGGATTCCCCTTGGCTATTCCCTGTTGTGAAGTGACCTTGTATACAGTCTTGTGGTCGTTATTGGTCAGCTGACACCTAGCTTGTATGTTTCATGCACATCATAATGACAGGATTGAAAATTCAGACATTCGTTATCAAGGTTTGTTATCAAACAGCTGATGAAGATTTGGTTACATTGTATATGTGTTTCTATTCCTAAGATGACAATTTTTATCTTGATGACTTTGCAGAAATTATCAACATGTTTCGTTGCCATGATTCCTCGTGTCTATTCATACAAATCATATGTCTGTATTTGCTTGTTTAGAGATGATATTTTTTTCAACTGTTATACTTCAAATTTAATTTCTGTACACAGGACAATGGTTTTGTATTGATGAAAAGTGAACATTCCGCCATTCGCTTATTAATAATGTTTATATGTACCAAGTAAGTCAAAATGATAAATAGCTGCCTAGTAACCTATTGTCAAATGTTTGCCACAATTAACAAAATTTAATTAATACCTAATATAAGATATGATCATTAATTACCTGCTGTATTGTAATTCTTGGCATGAATTAACTGCTCTCAAATGTTTTCTTTTCTTAAACTGGAAAGAAAGAAAAATCAAAATGTAAAAAAATCATGCAAAGTAACATAAAGGACTAGATCATGTCATCATGTGTTTATGAGATATGTGAGTTAGAAAATGATTACAAAGTTATTGTAATATGTACAGTTGGCCTTATCTGTAGTAGTCTCTGGTCCTCAGTCTACAGTAACAATATACCAGATATATGTATGTTATTTGTTGAGAGTAGGTAGCATTGTCATGAATCACGGAATTCTGCGTGTCGAATGATTGATTTTGTTAGATGTTACCACAGTTAATTTTTTTGTTATAACAAAAAACTAGAAATGACATCAGACTTAATAATAACAGGAGATCAATGGTAGAGAAGGAGAAATCTGTTGTGTTCATTGTGCACTTCAGGCCAACACTTCAGGCCATCACAAAACCTTGGCTGAAATTTGAACTATATAACATTTGCAAAACAAGCTATCAGCTTACATTTTAGGCCCAGATTGAAGTGTGTGAGTACCAAGAGAAAACTCTTGTGTTCATGACTAGGCAGGTGACCCCCCTTTCATATACATGCAATGCAGGGAATCCAACCCTGATTGTCAAGGTAAATGAGAAAGCGTACCACAAAATTGACCCAACCATTCAACTTTCACTATTGCAGGATAATATTTGAGTATTTTTATCATTTTTACTGAACTGTAGGAATGGGTTTTCACCAGGCTTGGGCTTAAAATAGCAAGATACATTGCAGGAGCTTTAGAACCTTATATTATGGTGTTTTATTATATATTATGATATATCAAAGTCTAAGAAATGATTTGGAGAACTTGTAAATGCAATTTAGAAAAAGTGATTATTATATGTAACTGATACCTGTAATTATGAATTTCATTTGTATCTGCACATGATCCCCTCCCCAAGAACATTGAGTACAGAATGTATTTGTGCAGAATTGCAGATGTTGTTACAGTGAATGTCATTGTTGTCACTGGTAGGATGCTGGAGTTCTGTTTCTAAGTGAACAGGTTAACATTGGGGCACACATACATATATCTGGCAAACCACAAGTGAACTCATTCACGGTACACACTTGTCAAAAACGTGTTTATTTACAGGGGAATGGGTAATTCCACTAGCCCGACATCTGGAGCTAGTGTTACATGGTTGGTATAGTGTTTACTTATTCCTTCAGTAGGTTGATCACAGAAAAATTAATTTCTCAAAAAAATCTATTTAGAAAAAAATTTTGCAGAATTTGACGCAATGGCTATGTTTTATGACTTTTGTTGAAGATTAGATACGCAATTAATTTCAACCAAAATCAATATTTGGATTTTGTCATCATTAAATAGCAATGCAAGAATTTCAATTATGGGATCATTTGAAATATGGTTATTCTTAATATTTTTTAGTTAAATCCAAATCCTCTTTGTGGTCCTTCTATTTTCAAAATAGGTCATACCGGTAGATAAAATAGGAACTAAATTGACTTTGTTGTTATTTACTTAACATTGCCATCAGAAATTACCAGATTGTCAGTGCCATTACTTGCATACCATAACTATGGAGACAGTGATGGCACATACATATGTTAAAAAAAAGGATTCCACATTTCAAAGTTAATTTTTAATTTAATGAAAAAACAACAGGTGTATTTTATTGAAATCAGATGGAGTCTACAAAATGATAAGAAAATGTAAGTTGTAATGTGAAGTTATACCATGTATAGTATTTATGTACCTCTACATATAAGACAGTATCAATGACTCGCTGTTAACATCTTACACGATACCATATTGACTTGATTTACAATACAGCTGTCTGCACAGCTGTGTCATTCATGTTCAATGCAAATCCAATATTGTTGAAACGTAATGTAATGGTTTAGCTTCTGCTGATTAAAGCTTTGAATGGATTTTAGAAACCAGTTATATCAGTACTTAAGTAGATATCATTCTGTTATTGTTGATGAATGAAAATCTTCCGAGGATGAATTTTTTTATTTGAAAGCTGAGGATTTACGTTGATTTACATATATGGTACATATATCGGTAGGTGTCGATGAAGATGTGTATAAAGGACTTCATGTATGTGTACACTAGTATAGATTTGAGTAGACACCCAAGGTGTGTCTAGTTATATGATAGCTAACATGACATGATGCTATTTTTAGTTATTCTACTTACTGTTACCTATAATACAAGGTAGTTCTAGTACAAATACATACAGACTTCATTACAATGTTTTATCTATCAAATCAAAATTCTAGCTCAATCTAAAAAAAAGTATTTTTCAATTCATGCATGCTGACACCTTTTGAAAATTTTAGTTAGTGTTACGAGATATACGACAATGATGTCTTACTGTCACAATAAATATATTTATATGTGGATGTTGTCTTGTAACGTGCCTACTTATGTTTACCTGGATCAAGGAAAGCTCAGACATTGGGCTTTACAGTGTCTATAATGCTAAACAGACAAGTTTCTTGCTGTCAGCCATACACAATTGTAACAATACAAGGTGTCATTAGTACATTGTTGTCACCTGACTTTTATGTACAGGTATATGTATGTGATGTATTACAGAAAAAAACACCCCTCACAGGAACAAATTAGAATAATTAAGTTTCTACCAAATCTCTTTAGGTTTTTGTCTAATTTAAGAATGGGGATATTCATGAAAGGTTGTTCTACACCATAATTATGAGACTTGAAAACATAACCTTTTGTAAAGTTATTCATTTTGTTTGACCGTTGACAATGTTTCTTATTTAAGTTTTTACACTTTATGAAATAATTATTTGTGACTAATAACCCTATATATGTAAATCAAATTCAGATACGAAGATAAGGTGTGCTTGGCTACCTTTTGAATTACATATATAGGTTTCTGAGATTGGTCATGATTGTTATGTAGTTTGGGGAAAAATGTAGGAATTTTTATTTGGTATACATTCTAGAATATATCAACATTGGGCTAGTCCATGTTGAACTAGCAGTAAACTTATGTGTAAAATTAAATTGTTTGTATATTTTAAACGTACTTGTAGCTCTCAGACAGATTTAATCACTTCTACTTGTTAAGACCTATGAATAACAAGACTACAATGAAATTATACTAAAGACATAGCTTGATGTGTCTTTTCATTAGTCTCCAGTCAAAATGTGTGTAATGAATCCAGAAATGTACCGGCCTTCTTGTAAATTAATTTCAGTGATTTAGCTCAAAATTTGCATACTTAACCACAGCTGAAATATATCGTGCATTTCGCCGCAAATAACACACGAAGAGGCGCATTTTGAAAAAAAATAAATATGAAATTACAAATTAACAGTTTTACCAGTGAGTAAGCGTGCACTAGATTAGAGATCTACCTTTTCAATTAATGTCAAGTCCTCTTATATCACCATTTGTGCCAAATGACGATAATAATAACTTGACACATCATGTACAGTAAATTGCAATGACACAACAATATGCATGTTGTAAATCTGAAAGGGTGAGATTTATCTTTTCATTTGATCCGTCTTTTCATTTTTATCGCACTCAAATGATCAACATGACAGATTATGATGCCATGTTAAGCCTTATTACCTTAAGCTTCCTTTATAGAAATAATACCAGGTTTTATATCTATATCTTTTGTCATAATTATGAATACTTTGTTGTCTATTTAGAGTCAGTTTGAATTGTATGTGAAGATGTTTAAAGTTCACATATTTGTTTACCCAAGGCTTAAGCTGACTGTAGGTAGTATAATACATAAATCCATGTTAATATTGATGTAGTTATATAAAGTGTCTGCTGATTGGGGTAATGGAACGGTTAAACCATCGGAAATGTTATATTACCGTGTATGGCATAATGGAAGGCTTTTAAATGGCTGGACTCGTCAGTTTTACAAGTCGGTTAAAGTGTCCTACACCACCCTAATGTTGGACTACGGTGAATATGTGGGCGGGCCATCTGATACATATATTGTGTGTTATAGAAAACCCTGTGGTAAACGCCAGGCAATCTTGATAGCATTTATTATCTTTTGGCATATACATCTATCTGTTTTTTGTTTATACAGAGCTTGAGTGATCCCAAAAAGTTGCATATGCTATTTAATTTGCTTATGTGACATTTTATACATTTATCAGTTTGTATATGGGTAGGTATATCAGAACTACTGTGTATGGAAAATATGGTTGAAATGTTGTCATTCTTTGTGGGTTGATTTCTTTAGATCTTATTTCTGTATAACTTCTGTATGTCAGAATTAGGTGTGTTTACCAATGACAAATGTCTTGCATGTAATTTGCATTTGTGGTGGATATTCAGAGACTATTTGTCCGTCTCAATTTACGGATATTTACAGCAGTAGATTAAGATCTAAGTACAGTGTAAATAGCACAGGTGGGAAATTTGGTAAGAATTACCTGTTGGTTTACCAGTGGATAGTCTGATAGAGAGGTAGTGATAATGGCAGGAACAAGGAGTTCTCTGTCACTACAGCTGCAGCGGGCCTTGTTAGTGACGGTCAGGCGGGTAATTGATCACTTCTATTTTGTTGTATCTATTGTTAATCAAACTTGGTTGATCCATTGTGTTGTGGTGCCTTTAAATATTCAGATGATCCTCATGTTTACAATTCAATAGACTGGGTTTCTGTGTTAGGGAATTATTGAACAGAAACATCTTGATTTGAAAAACAGTAAAGTTTGTGATGATAGATGTTTCCAGTCATTTAACTGTGATAATTATACCTCTGATTTCCATCTCCAAGTGATAATAATATGTGGAGAAACGAGACAGCTATTTTATTCTAACTCATTGCATTTTCGGTATTTCAATTTGTGAATAGTGTTTTAAAGTTTTCCTTGTTTTAAGAAAATCTGAAAAGTAACATCACTGAAATAATGGAGATAATAAATATAAGACACTAGAGGTGTTATAAGACATAAGAGATAGATCCAGGAGGATTAGGTAATTTATACCAAAGAGAGAGATTATCTCAGAAGAGAACACTGAATGTACATTAACTTGAAATGAATGTTTTCTTTATAACTGAATGCTTTAAAGATTATATATGGTTAGTAAAAGAAAGTCTCAAGACATGTTTAATTGATTTAAGCATTTATGTGAAATAGGAAAAGGTGACTTTATAAGTTAACATGACTTTGTAGTCCTCAGAAAGATTGATCAAAACTGGTGTTTTATGATATTCAGTGTGTTCATGACAACTTGTTATATTCATTGATTAACACACGTTAGCCAGCTGACTGATGATCACCTGTTTGCGTAATCGTCATGTGTTGTGTATTTGTAGGTGACCACAACATACCATGGCTACCACTGATGTGGATGTTAACAGTGTCCTACTCCAGGAGCTGAAAAACATGTACCCAGAAGTTCCAGAGCGTATTGTTACAACTCACATGATCAAGGTGAGAGGTTAGTGTGATATTTTTAATTCTTAGTCACGAAATAAATCTTTTAATTTATAATTTATGATAATAATAATTTATTAATAGTTTGACAAAAGTATTCATGTGTCTTTTTAGTCAATGTCGGCATCATTGTTGAGTACCATAAGAAATATTAAGACAGCTTCTTGCATTGTGTTAAAATTAGTTAAAACACAACAGTCATTATTGATTCATTGTATAACATTGTGTATACCGTATTTATTCTACGGTAAGTTTACTCTGGCAATTTATAACCCTGGCTCAAAGTCAAGGGTCAGCCTTTTACATGACAAGGAAACAGTCTCTGTTCATAATTTTACATTGGTTGACTTAAAACCAGGCATTGGCTTCTTGTAAGAAAGATATATTACATACTTTTAGCTGATCTAGTCTGAAGTTAATGCTGTGGTCCAGTGTCTGTCGTCCTCCAGTCAGCCGTCCATCCATCCAGTATCAACTTTTTCATGAATCTTGCATTTAAATGAAATAATTCTTTTTCAGCACAAGAATGACAGAGCAAAAGTGATCCAAGTACTTGATCACGAGGGACCTCAGTATCTTTTTGAAAAGCCATTGTTTGATCCCATTCAGAGAAGAATGGAAAATCTAACTATTTCACAAACTGAAGGACGGACAAGAAGTGACTCTGGTTCAAGTGGGGTAAGCAGTACAAGTACGAACAGTGTGTCAAGTGTGTCCTCGGTGCCGTATGTGGGTGGAAATTCACGACTGCCACCAGATAGTACTGAGTTTAGTCAGTTCATGAGTCCAGGTGCCCATAGCACAAATATACCAAACATTAATTGTGATGTGTCCACACCAATGAAAGGAAAGTTGAATAAAGCCCCCTCTAGACTTCAACCAATTCAAGTGCTACATGTGCAGACATCACAGGGGCAGTCATCTTCCACGGGGAGTGAACACAACAGTCCTACTCCGCGTGTGTTTATACAGGTGAACCAACATACCAATAATCACAATTCCCAGACTAATCAGTTTCAACATCACTACAAACAACAGATGTCTTATCCAAGTACAAATACAACGCCCCATAAGTGGCGGACACAGTCGTCCGTGCCTGGGAACAATTACAACACATATGCATCACAAGGGCATAATTACCTAAACGCAACTGGTGGTGTAAGTCCAGGAATACACCCAGTGGACAGACAACCATATCGCAAACCCCCAGCCAGTCCCCAACCCCTTGATAGTGTAAAGTCTTCCCACAGCCATATACCATATCCCTCTCAGTATGGAGACCATTCACAACAAAGCCAATGGAATGCTGGACCATCTAGTACATCTAGTGGCTCGCACAGTGGTCAACAAATGTCTAAGGCAACAATATACCTGGGTGGGCCCAGCAAACCAGGGGGACATGGGCCCTCATACAACATGGGCACTAGTTCTGGCATGCAGTACAATCACCCAGTGTCCACAGCTGGCATGCATGGCTCTCATAGTGAACCATATCTACAGCCACATGGTGGCTACAATCCTTCCCCTCAGCAGCAACCGCCGACCCAACAAGGTGGCAGTAATACTACTAAGCCGTTGTTCATCAAGGTTGCTAGTCTGACGAACCAGGATAGTGGAACACCATCACAGTATAGATACCAATCCGAATCGCCATCAAGTGTGGGATCAATGAACCTTCCTCAAGTGAACTCTAGATACAGGAATATTAGTGGAGAAATCCTCACTATGGCAGGACCCCCGACTGGGACTGTTCACCCAGGCTCCTATGTTGGACAATTATATTTGAATGAAGTAGGAGGTACGGCTGGCAATGGTTCTTCTAGTCAGGGTGTTGAGACAGGGCCGTTATTTATGCACTATCCTTCAGTTCCGTCTAACTGTCGGGTGTCTGGACATCCACCCTCGTCAGGAAACAATTCTCCCCCTATCCTTCCTGTCAGAACAGGAATTCCTCCTCCTCAAGTTGGAAATCCTTTAGCGCCCGAAAATGTGATAAACAGAAGTATTATGGAGCCTGGGGAATCGCAACACATTTCACTTGCAACGTTCCAGCCTTTAGTGTCGCCAGCATCTAGTCAAAGTAGTCTGAGTTCAGAGTCCTCATCTCAACGGGAAATCCAAAGGCCTAGGTCGGGCAGTGTGCAAGAGGAGGCTGATTATATTTCAGGTATGTCGAACAAAAACATTTTGTTTATCATTTGATCATCAAAACTTCTCAAGTGCATGTGCTGTTATGGTACTGTCAAACAAGAAGTTTGAATTTTCAGTGCTTCAGGGATTACAATAAACACAAACCTTTTTCTTAATTTAAGGTATTTCTGTTGATAAAAGAATCCTGACAAAATTTTCAATTCCTAGTTTTAAAAATTACATAGACAGTTTGACTCCATCATACAGGCTAGGATGCACATGCATTTGATTCTCCTGCTGTGTGTTTTGTAATGAACTCCATTATAATATTATGGACATCTTTGAAAGTGTTTCCAATAATTGACCGATTTCTGTCCCATTTTAGCCATACAAGATTTTATCAACCCAAACGATGTGAGAGATTGCACATGGCACATGCTATCTTTCTGAACTGGAAGCAATGTCACATTACCATAGTGACATGAATTAAAAGCGTGTTTATTTATTGTTGATTCTTGCTTGTTTTGTTGCTACTTAGAAAACATTCTTTTACATCTTGATGTTAAAACTTGCCCGTACATGATTAGAGATGATAATATAAAATTAAACAAAATGCTATATATTGGTATGCATATTTTTAAGGTGACTGTCTTGAAAAATGACATCTATTAACTGTCCATGTGTGTATGCTTGCAAAAAGAAGGATATCAGTGGTGAAAACTTAGAAAAAATAATAATTTCCTTCCTTTAGGGTGTAACAAAGAACTTTCAACCTCAGGGTGAGATCCTTACATGCCCACTTGTGGGTTGGACCTCTAAGAATTTCTCCTGAAACTCTCACTCTTCAGGTTGTGAATATATTTTGATTATCAAATCAAAAAATTAGATAATCATCCAAAATGATATTATTACCACTGTTTTCATAACAGAGGTGAAATCAATCAGTGTTTGGAAGGGTATTGGGTGGATATACATATACATCTATTGAAATTGCTTGGGGATAGATATTTCATTTCATATAGATATAATTTCTTGTGGTGTTTATGGGATATTATGAAGACAAACATCTATGCTTACATTCCCATTTTGTTGTTTCAGTATTACTTCGTTTCCAAAAGGAGAGAATGAGTAAACTCAAGTTAGACCTAGAGTCAGAGCTGAGGAAATTAGCAAAAATTCGTAATGAGGTGACGCAAATGGAAAAAAATATGTTGGATCGGACAAGAACGAGAAACCTGAATTTCTCTCCACATGTGAGTGTTTGGTATCTGTACAACTCTGGTCCATTGTCTTGTTGATACTTCAAATTGAAAATTATGATGACTTATTACAAGTATTTATGTGTGCATCATGAAAACCGATCAAAATTTAGTAGCTACTAACTTGCAGGATCAAGTATTAGTTTTGATGTAACTTTGCGGATATTGATAGTGATGTAATTGTGATTATCATGTTAGTGTTTTGTGTACCAGTTTGTTCTGCACTATTGCAGTTGGAGGATGTGGCAAGTTTACGTAACAACAATATGAAATTACAGGCAGAGATCCAAGTCATGACACGGGAGGTGGACATGTACAATAATGGACAAAGTGAGTGGACAATTGTTTGTTAGCTTAGTTTATTTTGAGCCATTTTGAGGCAAGGTCTTTATGTTGTAGTTGGTAATTACCTCACAGAACGCCATGCAGAAGGCCTGCCACATGGTATCTGGAGTATCTGTTGACTGAGCTTTCTTGGCTTGTGAGAGTGTAATCTGATGAAACCTACTAATCTATTGTTAATTTTATTTTCCCGAGTTTTGAAGCCACAACGTATTGAAATTACATGCATTATATCTCAAATTAAAAAAAAAATATGAAAAATCTATTCGAAATTCAACTCCTTAACTGTTTGGTGTAAATTTCAATTTGTAGCTCCCTTAGGTGTGTTGGACCCATTGGAACAACAGAATTTTTTCCAGAACATGAACCCAGGACAAAGAGGTTCAATATATTCCCGACCGCCAGCACCAACACCTACACCAACGCCAACACCAACACCAACTCCTAGACCTGCAAGTGAAAGTAAGAGATTGGACAAAAATCAAAAGACAATACTGTATTTTCCAGATTATAAGTCGCTGTTTTTTTCTTTGGTGATCAGGCGTGTGGTTTATAACCCGGAAGATATGGTAATATGTTGTCAAACAAGCTTTACAAAAAGTTTTCTTGTACAGTTCATAGGTCACCTGAGACAAAATCTCATGGTGACCTATTGTGATAACCTTTGTCTGGCGTCATGTGTCCATAACAATTTAACATTTTCGACTTCTTCTTAAAAACCCCTGAACCGATTTCAATGAAATTTTGCAGAAACCAAAAGTTTTAAGCAAAAAGGTGTCTGAGGGGCAGGGTGAAAAGTGTAAAATTGACTCATATTTCAAAAATCTTCTTCTCAATATCCAGTTATGGTAGAATTAAATACACTTCATGGATGGAAATGTCTTCAGGTGCATTACCAAATTTGTGAATTTCATGGCCTGAGGGTCTCACATTTCCCTGTGGGCAGGGGTTGAAGTGTACTCTAGTTTATATAGGGAAAATAAATTTTTTAGCATGATTTGTTTTTTTTACGACTGGATATATTTCAAACTTTGTTTGAAATATGAGTAAAGGATGATGGCTTGATGGTATGCCCATATCTGTCCTAGCTGGCTGGAAGCATCTTGAGGTGCTTCAGCGAAATTGTGAATTTCATTGCCGAAGGGTTACACATTACCCCATGGGGAGGTAGTAAAGTTTACTAAAGTTGATATGGGAAAAATAGGTTTTGAGCATAATTTGTTTACTTTCCATTGGAAATATTTCAAACTTTGTTTGTCCATATTGATCCTGCTGACCAGGGACTGATGGATGGGGACAAAAGGGGTCAAAACAAATTTAAAAATTCTTCTTCTCAAAACTCAGGTATGGTAGAATTAAATGCTCTTCTTGGATGGAAGCATCTTAAGGTGCATTAATTACCAAAATGGGTCACACATTTCTTCCTGGTGAGGTGGTTAACTTAAATGTAATTGTTATGGAAAATTTGCATTTTTTGAGCAAAATGTTACTTATTTCCCATTGGAAATAACCTTTGTAAGAATTATTAGTATAGGATGACAGTTATGATGGTAAGCATGTATTGACAATGGCTTACTATCGTCTATGTCACAATTTCTTTTTCTTGTCACTTTAAAGCTTCCTAACCTTTATACTCAATATTGCTGATCTCAGGTGATGGTCAAGGCTGCTAGGCCTCTTGTTGGTATTATTTAGTTATTTTTCAACAATAAACACATGAATTTACAGTTCTTCAATAATCTTGATTCTGACCTCGTTTTGATGTATATACATGACATGTTTCAGCTCCCCCACCTGTTCCCCCAAGGATCCACCATGTGCCACCTCCTCCTCCTCCCCAGCCTGTGACTGGGTCAGGCGATTTAGATGGTGATGGAGAACAGTGGAGCTGCTCTGCCTGTACCTTCCTCAATCACCCTGCCCTCAACAAGTGCGAATGCTGCGAAATGCCAAGGATGAATGCCCCTGCCCCCACCACAGGTAGGGTGTGCCATGCCCACTCAGCAGCAGGACTATGCTACTGCCATGATAAGTGATGGAGCCAGGCCTGGTATAGGCCACATTTTCACTACATACCACTGATTAGGGTGTATGTCACACATTCCGCATCCTTTAAGGATGTGTCACCTGACAGATGCCACACCCATGGGAAGTGTGGTGTGCCAGAATACTACATCCCATTATAAATCCACTGTGCCTAGGTTCATTTTTAGAAAGGGACGTTCTGAAAGTATTGTGGCCAGGGGGGATAGGGAATGAGGGTGTGATCTGGTTTGGTCTGATGTAATTTATCGTATATACTGTATACAGAGACATTTGTCGCAGTTTAACATGAGCATATTTCACTCTAATGCTGTTAGGGAAAAATGAAAAGTGGGCTTAAAATTGGTGTCTGATTGAAAAACCTCTTTTATATATTCAGAGAGGAATTAAAGGCAAAATTTAAGCAATTGTCTCCTGTATTACAGCTCAAGAAAAAAGTTCATGTGTGACAGGTTATTGTTAGATTGGAAGTGGTCGAAAGATTAGAGAAGAGTTGAAATGAGAAATTTTTGTCAAAAATTCAGGAGTAATACATTCAACTAGTAGTACCATAATAGACTGCCCAAAAGGATTAAAAAAACAGTTTCTAGTAGTAGTTTAGGAATAATAAATAACATATACAAATATGAAATTTTAAGTCACCCTGCCCTTGTCAGTGTCATCCTTAGAAATTCTGGGAATGTTAATTAAATCCTTGAAAATAGTAAGAATTTGTGTTTAGAGACGATACCGAGAAAACACAAAAAAAAAAAAACAAATCCCCAAAGTGACAAGATAAAAGTTTGTTTTCTTTGTTGCTATTGTTACTTAAAACTACATTTTTATCCAATTTCTCCTAATAACACCAGAAGTTTTAATCAAATTTTGTTAATAATTACTTATAAAAATACATTGATCATTGTCTGTAATAAAGTCTTGGAATTGAATGTTTGAAATTTTCACAAAACTTTTGTTACTAATGCTTTCTTAAGGAAGCTATAGCAAGGTTACAGAATATGTATGATCGTGCTACAGGATTGGCTAGGTAGTGTACTGGTGCTCATTGTACTTAATGATTTAGGTCTAGATGTGTATGGCATAGATAAAGTGGCGAGATGATAATCATTCACTGAACAGACAGGCATTATACTTGAAAACATTACTTGCCTTACTCTTAATTTTGATAGGCTTAAATGACTTCAATAACAACATGGCTGATATACTGTATTGTTGTTGATATGCCAACGGATTAAAATTAGCTATATTCACAGTCTTCAAAGATAGCAAGCAATAAAATACCCAGCAGATATTAACATCAATCAAAATGTAAAGAAATGTGCCTGTAAACACGGACACCAATGTGTAGACATTGTCAATATCCAATCAGCATGAATAAGCCGCAAACTGGGGTAGCCGCGAATTTTTAGCCCCATGGAATTGAACAACCATACAGTAATTACTCGGTGTCTGTTTTAAAATGTGAAGACTTTGTTTTTCCTCCTCATGGCTTAGCTACTGGTGTTTCCACTTCAATATTAAGTAAACGTTTGGGAGATTTTATTAATGATTGTAATCAGCACTGGTGGTCATTAGCTTTTTCTGCATGATTATTCTCTTTAATTTAATGTTCAGTTCATGCATAAGCTTTCATTTAATTTTTATTAATATCAGTTTTATGTTCAAACCTTTTTACAAATGTGGATATTGGGATTTTCTTTTACACTTAAAAGCATTTTAAATGGATATGATTGAAATTGCAGGTACGAGGCTGTTGAATCATTTCTTTATTATTTTGTTTTTTGGTCCTTTGGCATGTTAGTATTACAGTTAGCATCGGCATGGCTCGGGAATATTGTAACGATTTACAATGTAGTTGTAGAGTATCCAGTAAAAGATACTATGTATTACAAGGCCTAGGATATGAGAATTCTACAGCAGTGGTTCCGAATTGCATGGATCAAAATGTTAAGTTGTGACCTGAATGAATAAGATATCACAATAAAGAGTGGTTTTGATATTTCCAGATCTTTATGATGAATATCATGGTGACAGCCGACACAATGAATTAAGTGAAGCAGGCAATGATTTTGAACTTGTTTAGGTTGATTGGTTATGATTTCAAAAGTTAAAGGTATGTAAATATGGAAACGGACTTCATATGCTACACTGCTTACCTTGTATACAGTAAAATGTGTTTATGGCATTAGCTATATCATTTGACATCAGACACGGACAACTTCAATGAATTCATAGAAAACCACATACAAAATGTAGCATTTTTCATGGACTTTTTATTATGAAAAAGCCATGTTGAACTAACAGGACTAGAAATTCACTTGGAAGTGAAACATCGTCACAATTAAAACGTGAACAGGATATGCTCCAATTGTTTGTTGTAAACTTGTTTTACTGTAACTGTATTCTGCTGCTTTGTGTTTATACCTTTATTTTCTACTTTTAGCTGATGGTTGTAGAAGCATTTATATTTCAATAATTTCATTACTGAAAGTTTTATAAAAATTAGTTTAGCATGGTCATATCATTTTACTTAACAGTATTTATCCAAATGGCTCGCATAACTTACCAGTAACCCAAAATGATTTTTCATGTATTTAATGTACAAGCGCTGAAAACATCAGGACCATAACTTCAGGAAATGATGTTGCCTTCATCCAAAAAAAAATTTTATTTTTTTTTTTTAAATTAAGTATAAAGTGGATCTTTGCTCATTCAAAGTCAATCACAATTGAGGAAACTTGCCATGTTCTAAAATAATTACTTAACAATCTGTAGGTGTTTAGTGCATGCATTTACTGATAGATGTGTTGGTGGTGGTGTTCTGTCTGTATGAAATCCTGGCACTCTCTGTTGTGTAGATGTATGTCTGTTGTAAGTGTAATTAAGTAGGGCCTCCTATTGGTTGAATGGGCCTCTACTGTATGAATTCTCTTCAAAAGATTCAATGTTACTCTCTGTTATTTCAGGCAGCTTCATTTCAATTCAGGGAGATGTTTCCAAGTTTTCATATGAGTCTGCTCCAGGTGTCTACATTTTAACAAAAGGAGTGGGTGTCGATTTGGGTCATTTAGTGATGAGCCAGTTTATGTCAGAAAGATACTTTAAGATCAGCTGTATATACCGGTAGTATACTGTATCAAAACATCAGATTTTGTATGCACTCTTTCCAAAGTTGATGAGATGACAGGTTTTTTTTAATGAAAGTTTTGTTGTTTAATGTGGAAGTATAAGTTGTTTTCTGATAAATAGAGATTAGGTGTTGAGGATAAAGTTGAAAAAATTGTCCAAAACTTATCAAGTATATTACAGATTTATAACCGGTATATTTTCACCTCATTATTTTTGAGAATTAATTAAGATTTTTCATTAATCAATCGTAAAATACTTGACAATTACCACCACAAGGTAATAATGAGTGTAATGCTTATCTTATTGTTTTTGAGGGCCCAAAAATGGCACACTCCAGACAGGTGTCATATGGGTGCTATGACCAGATGTTTAGAACATCTTGCTGTATGCAGCTTACCTTAAAGTATGTTTCTACACAAATTAACACTGAATGGGCTAAGAATGAACCAAATTGGCACATCTTCTTTATCAATAAATGTACGAATCAATGCTAGGTGTAACTTATTATCCCATACTTTTGCCTGGTATAGCTGCCTGTCATGTGATGGGGTTGCTTTTCATGTGTAATTGCAGGTACTCTAAAACTGGCCTCTAAGACCACAACACAACATGAATTTAAAAGTTCAAATTCTTATTCACTTTTTTCCTTTATTTTTATGCCACTTTCATATTTACAGATTCTTGTTCATAGAAATTCTCTATGAAAGAGTTCAGGTTATAGAGCCAATGCAGTACGTTCTGGTTTGATGGGTAAAATTTTCTAGTTATGATAAAATATATATACATACATGTATTCCAATCTGTGTCAAAAAGAGTGCAGTTATTTAGAGTAGAGTTATGTAGAGTACCTGTAATTCACATTGTCTTGCTTTGTATGGTGTTTTTTATGTTTTATTTACAATTTGTTTCTTCTCTCACTGTTTTGCAGGACCTACACATCCCCACTTGCATGGAACTTGACCTCTGATCCCCACCAGTGCTGTTTCCAAGCCGCAAGCCATATATTATTTCAAAGTTTAAGTTAAAAATAGGTCTTGGAAGTGTTAAAAAATGAGGTGGGGAGACGAAAAGAACTGCATGTTTTATTGTATAAGTGAGTTCAATGTGCTCTACATTGGTTTCAACAAAGACAAATTTAGTGGCAAAACAGTCTCTTCATTATTAAAGTATTGGCATGATCAGTAGAACTGACAAATTTGAGACTGGTGGATGAATTTAACACTTTAAGAAGTTACCAGATAATTTGAAAATCTGAAACGTTGAGGTTTGCCATAGCTTTGTGAAAGGAAAAGAAATCAGATGTAAACCAGTTCTGTGGAAGCTGCAAACTTGATACAGCTACATCATTTATATCATTGTTGGTTAACTGTATCTCTACATAAATCATTCAACTGAGACTTCAAAAGTCGAAGTCAATTGTATTATCGTCACATCGTCACGTTTTGGATTCCTTGGTACTACTCTCTTGGAAGTTTGTAACAATACAAATACTGTTTGAAAACTTGAAATTCTTTTATCAACAGAATCATTAATTGCATTAAGGATTGAATGTAAAGCGAGCTTAGAAATGTAAAATGACCGTGGTTTTGGCAGACCATTGTTAACTGAGATATTATTATTCTGGAAAGTTTTGCCTTTATTGCATACTGTGAAGGACCCATAGTGACCAAATTAGAATTGCTTTCAAAATATGTCACACAAGATTTGGATAAAGAGTAAGTTGGATAAAAAAAAATGAAAAGATGAATAGATAAAAAAGATGAATACGGAATGTATTTACAATCAATGATACAATTGTCTGTCAGTTTTCTTCCTGATGTGAGTTCTTTGACTTTGCAGAATGATCTACATACTTATTTTGCCCAGGAATTCAACAATAGTGGTCAGTTGATGAAAGTTAGAATGTTCATCCATCATTTTTTTGTAATGGTTATTCATAATTTGATGTGGATAGACATCTGAAATCTGCATCACAGAAAAAACAATATTTACACATAATCACACATAGAATTGTTGAATAGTGTAGTGATGTCTGATGTTGGTCAGAACTTTGATGATGATGGATCAACTACATTTATTCCATGTACATGAATTGGAGTCGTTTTAATATTTACTCGTATCAACTAGTATAAAATCAGTTATAAAACATCCATGATTATGAATAATGCACTGCAACCCTGTTTGGAGCTCATTTTAATAGGTGCCCTAGCAAACTACTAAAACCATTGACATTGACATGAAAGTCATTTGGAAATTTAATCTATCTCATTTCATTAATGTATACTGTACCATGAAGAGTTGAATTACTATGATATTTTGTGGGCTGGCAACACAATAATGAAACACAACAGTGAAATTTGTGCCAAATAATTATCCCTAGTTGGAGAAATGTATCTATAATTAGGTATATATAGGTATACACTTTGAATCATTACAGTTCTGACATCTGTTATACTGTTGTTGTATTGTACAAGTTTATAATGTCGTACAGCCTGTTAGTCTGTACAGTGTTGTACCTTGGTTTCAGTAAACAACAATACTGATATCCGTATGCTATGCAGTAAACAATATGTTACATTATGATCACATACTTACTTTTGAGAAATTCTACACACCTGTACAACATTTCACAAAGAACAGTACAACACATAACATACATTGTTGTATTGTGTACATTGTGCAATTACTGTGCATTGTACAACATAAAGCATAGTATGACTCTGAGTGATGCACTTTTACAATGATAGCACTGTGTCATACAAATTACAACATACCATAGACACTAGCAGCAGATTTTGTTAAGTGTTTACACAGATCACCAGACACTATCAACAGATTTTGTTAGGGTGTACACAGGACATCAATTACTTAGGACTCGTAACCATTCTGCCTTACTGACACGATGATCCCAACAACTGACCTTCTGGGATCAGTAAAAATGAGAAAATTCTTTTGTTTCTCAGTCCTTTTTATCTTTGCTGTACTTCAGTTTGGAATAACAGATGTTTTGTTTTTTTGTTGTAGTGAAGATGTCTTGTTTCACAAGTCCAGATTTTAATGTCCATATTTTATCCTTTTTTTTTTTTTTTTTCTCGAATATTTTCGAAACTTTTTTTTCTTAACACACAGTTGACATTTTTATCGTTCAATTATCACCCAATAGTTTCATTTAATCTTTTTTTTTTTTTAACTAAATTGACTACACCATTGCTATTTTAATGGTTGTGTTTTATTAGGATCAGTGTTTGGATAAATTCTGTGTTTGATTTGTGGTCAACAATTTCTCAGATATATGATTTTTCGCTTCACTGAATACTACATAAAAATGCTATAAAAACTATTTAACCAGATGAAAATAAAATTGCTTTCAGACCTTGCATTAAAGTAACGAGTGAGAATCTGACAATTTGTGATTAAATATTCCAATGTTATAGTATGAAAGGAAGAATTTGATTGAAGTGTTCAACATTACCCATAATTAGATCTGAGTTATCTAAATATTAATGAGTGTGACTAGTTTAAAATAAAACCAGGTTATGTATAGATAGATGTTATTGCAGATAAATTAAACTGGGTTATCTATAAAAAGATATAATTGAAAATGTATTACAACTGGGTTATTTATATAGAAATAGGTGTGATTGAAGAATCTGCCTTTTTAAGTCCAAAATTGTTTCATTTTTTTATTTTTTCTTACCTTTGTGCAACATACAAAATGGCCTGGTCTTGCCATGTGAGATTTTTTTTCTAAGTTTGTAAAATAGGCTTTTAATTTCAGACTACAGCATATATTGGGGTGATTTCCAGAAATCTGTCAAAGTTTGTCAACAAAATTTTGTCCTAAATAGATCTATACAAATGCCCTGGTGGTGTGCATGAAAGAAATGCATTTTTTTTTTTTTTTTTTTTACTTCCAGATTTAAAGAGAGTATATGTGCCTCATTTGTGGTGACAAAGAGTTTTGTATTATTAATGAATGATCTCTTCATCTCTTTGTACAGAACATGATTTGTGTTATGAATACTCACATAAACAAAACTGCTAGATTACAATGTTTGTGCAATGTAGAGTGCTAGTTAGGTCTAGTGGTTGAATGTAGTCTAGTGTTTTGGTATTCAATGACTCCTCATTCCACAGAGTTGAAAATGAGATCATTCTTTGGTGTGTAAGCAATTGATTGTAAATGCATTTAAGAGTGGTCAATCATGTGAGGTTCTCAATAGGCCCAACCTTTTAAAGGATAAAACAAATAAATTGGAAAAGACGAGTCGTTGGATGAGAGGCTCAGGATAGACAAGCTTAATCATGAATTCAGTTGTATTTTATTGGTGAGTTTTTGGAACAATGAATGGCGTCATTCTAGTCATAAAGACACGTAGTGTAAGTTAGTGTTGGTTAGACATGGTTAAAAAATTCCACCAATGAAAACTTTTGTTTGTATAAACACAGCAATTTGTTGCACAAGTTTCTCAAAGTTGTATCTGGTATATGATAACAGCATGTGATATATAGCGTGGAATTTTATATGGGTGACGAAATCATATATTTTAATTTTTCGATTTTTTTTAACAATGGGTGTGATATGTTTACATAGTGTTAACACATTATAGCCTTAATCATGACATTGTTAACATCAGTTTCCCAAGTTGGGAAAAAAGAAAAAAAAAAAAATAGGATTACCAAGCCATTCTAAAACTACTGCTGAGAACTTGGTTCTTTTCTGAAAGTGTTGCATGAAAATATATGAGTGAAAAAAACATAAAAATCAGTCTGCATCAATAGTGTATATGTGATAAATATGAATAGGGTGGTAGTGTGACCTCAATGATTTCCAGAATGTTTGTGCCTGTATTATTGTGATATGACAGGTATCTTTGTGATGACTGTCATAGCTACTCCAAACATCAAAGTCAAGGTAGTATTTCAATTATTTGATTATTAACCCCAAGTATCGCACAATGTATTTACCAGTCAGATATATTGGTATATATCACTGGTAAGTTGTGCGATATATTATTTACAGCGTATTTGGTCATTTTCTGTTATGGAAAGTCCAATAGCTTCAAAGTATTTATCATTTGAGAAAAAAACTAAATTATCCTGACTAAATTCTAGTTCATAAACACTGTACTTTGGAAATTAGCAGAATATTAAAATTGTAGCTTAAGTGGACATCAGAGCATCTCCAAATTACTAGTACATGGTATATGCATTTCTGAATTGTGATTTGTGAGCAGTGTAAGGGTACTCCATATTGGAGTATGGTGCTGTTTGGAGTCAGTGTTGATGTTTGTGCAAGTTGTTGCTGTGAAATGATATTGGTACATGTACCAGAGTGCAAGTTCACCTGTAAGTCTTGTGTGGTACCATTGAGCATATGCCGACTGTGTTATAACTATTAACAAGTATTTAATTTAATTAAGACAAAACTTTTTATATGTAGATATTGATATATTGGCTACAACCATATGTGTAGGTCGATTGCACCAAAATTTGTTTTGTTCTGGGAATGCCCAGTTGCTCTGACATGGACAAGGATGTTTCTTGTGTGTTTGTATGTTTTTAATTTGGTGCTTTTACGTATTTGCGCATATATGTATTATCTGTTAAGATAAGACTCTACAAGCATGTATGCTTTTATTGCATATTGTATATAGAGAAAGTAAAACCTGCTTGTAAAACAAACATGCACATCTATGTGCATAATAATTCACTCAGTGTAAAGTAATAAGAATAATAAAGAAGAAATAAAATTTGTTATTATTTTAAACAAGTGTTTCATTTTCATTTCTTTTTAAAGTTTAATCCATAACACAGATCATATTAAATATTAAGTCAGAAGTTAAAATTTTTTGGAGGATGTACCAAGTTTGCATCCAACATAATTACTGTGTTGTAGTTCTGTGACCTGAATTTGTAGTGTTACCAAATGAGAGTTGTCGCCACATCTGGTCTAAACTGAAACCTTGTCTTCAATATAATAACGGTATTACTGTACTGGTGTACCAATATTATCTGGGATTGAGCTATTTACATATAAACATAACAAAGGCCTGTATGAGATACAAATGTTTTATTTTCATAGGTTGTAAGGAATGTTCCTGATATATAGGTAATAGGCCAGATAGAAAAAATGTGTAAGCAGCTAATCACATTTCATAATTTTGCCCCAGTATTTAATCAGCCCATTGTCAATCAAATTTGTATCTAGGAAAGGCTCTCTCAACAGAAAAACCTGGTATACTTTTAATGAAACTCAAATTATTCAAATCAAAATATTGTCCTAAAGTTTCTAAAACAGATTGTACCAATTCAGAATTGTAACAATTTTAGACTTAAAATATTACAGCCGATGACTGGAAACAGTAAGTTTTAATATTTATTCATCTGCAACACTAAAACAATCTAGATGTTATAGTTTAATTACGGAGGGTAACTTAACAGTAAAATTTTTAAAAGGTACATATTGAGATGATTTGTCCCAAATATGAGAAATTGAGAGAAGCTGAGAATGAAATCTGAGCTTGTAGTAGTAACAGAAAAAGACATCACCCAAAAGGTTTTAAATTGTTCTTATATGAGCAAACCCATGGGATTCTTTAAGACATGACTGGTCTCTCGTTTAAATATAAATAATGGTCCAATATATATTGTTAGAGAAAACAACATAAGGTTAACACTACTGGCAGGATAGAGAGAAAAATGGAATTTGATAAACTTGTTTGAGGGTTACATGTATTATAACTTGTCTTTATATAAATGTACACATTACAATGATATAAATCTTAAAGTAAGTAAAACCACGACCTCAGATGGTCGGACGGAATTAACATCAATACATTACCTTAATGTCAGTTACATACTGTTTACATATTGGATATATAAACAGGATCCCAATCCTGTGAACAATACAGACCAGGGATTTACAACAGTTTGTTAGCTACATTTACCCAACACAATATTCATATTTCATCATTTCAATCGCAGATCATTTCTTTGCATAACATTGTATCTAAATATCAAATTCCCTATAATATTAAGACAATCACTTAATTTCAATTTTACTTTGAGTAACATCTTCAGTCATGCTGTGTAATTCACCACTTCTGACTTGTTTCGTCTGTTCTATTAAAATCAAACATCACTGTGACTTTACACAGTATACACAAAATACAACAAAAAGTGATGAAGATCATGCACAATAATCCATCACATGTAGAGTTAAGCTTACACTAATACAATTGTACCTATGTTTTACACGGATTTAACATCCAGTGTAGTGTCTCATATGGACACAAATACAAAATCTGTACATAGATGGAGAGGGAAAAACAAAACCATGTGTTGATTTACTCAGTTTTGCCCTCCTTGGTTAAAAAAATTAATGTATATTTGATAAGTAAACACACAAATTGTAATTGAAACGTTCTTCTGTAAAATCTTATGTGTGATCATTACTGCAAACAAACTCACATAAGGGTAAAATACAATTTGTAAGATCTGTCAGAATCAAAATAAAGTATAAAAAAAGCAATAAACAGCTTTGTGATTAACTCAATGAAAAAGTAAATTGATTTTAGATAAAAAATGGTTCACCATTTGTTGAGATACCAAACTGTTTAAGAACGCTTACCAGCAGTCCCACAGTAGATATACTAAAACTATTTAGTTCAGATGTGGGATGTATATGCCCTCATTTTTCATAGCAGTTAAAAGATGAAATGGCATGCTGGGAAGGGACCAGACACTAAAACAGAGCATAACAATCTTCAGTCATAATCTCAAACAACAACAAACCTTTATCTTAAAACTCAAACATAACGACCTGATGTACCTGAGTAAAAAGAACACAACTCATCAACTTTTCAGACCAAAATAATGAAAATAAATAAAATGTTCTAATGTTACACTACAATTCATCAACAGTAAAATGTAACCTCATACAATATATAAATGTCATGAGCAGCATGAGGCAAAAAATCCTAGATTTGAATCTACACATTCTATATTTTTTTCTTATTTTCAGTCTTATTTTACGCTAAATCTATTAATGAACATAATTATCATTTTCTATAGCTTTATTTTTTCAACAACTATCAAAGTACACTATACAACTCTTTAGTAAGTAGTTTTTGTAGAAATACACAAGTAAATATTCCTTTAACTTACAAATTGTATTACACATATATTACAACATTGGTTACAAAATTATATGTTCAGTTACATGTTTATTGTGAAATACATTCTCTAAAACAACAAATGAATTTTTTTTTCTAATATCACAGATAATTTGTTAAATATACAGCTTGTCTCATTATATTGGACGGAGATTTTTTACAGGTGACACTTTCTATAATTGTCTTGATTAAAAATAAACATTGCACAGAATAAAAGTCATAATGGGAGCTAAAAGTCACTAAACTAAATATGATATGTATTGAGTTGACAAATGTATGGGTCTCGGAGACTTTAAAAAAAAAAAAAAAAAAAATTGGAAATTTTACCGGAACATGATATCTCTCCATAAACACAGGCTAATTATAATGCTGTGTATACAGGTGGTAAAACATTAAGCACTAAGATTTAAGAAAAACGGCACAATAGCAGCATATGGCAGATCAGATGTGGTTGATCTTTGTTAAAAAAAACTGAATTAATTGCATTTTATCACAATGGGGCTACCATGTTGGAAAACAATACATAAAGTGGCCCTCCGTCACAGTATGATTTGACTGCACTAATGCGGTATACTGTGCCAGTAACCATAATCATTTCTGTAATCTGCATCGCTAAAGCTGATACTTCAACTATATTGAATGCATTTAGAATGAAAACTACCATTCTGTCAAATACTCTTCTACTTTTCTCTTCACAGTGAAATGAGGAATGGAAAAAAACCATCAGATTGGTGTCATGTATAATTATTGGATATACAACTTTTTTCGCACATGAATGCAACATACAAACACAGTGACATTATCATATTTGCGTGGAATTTGGCACCTTTGTTTGTAGAAATACACTGATTTTTTTAGGCTTTACAAACAAATAAACAAGATAAAACATTGGCACCCGTCAGATAGACACCTACCTTTCAGCCACGTTACATTTTTACCTCATGTATTCAAATCACACTTTCAAAGAATTACCAATAAAAAGCCATTTATATCGGTCATTCAACTTCTATCCCAAACCATAATTTTAAAAACCTGAAGCATTTTTAGCCTACAAGCACTTTTCCCATTATCAGTCTAAATTACAAAAACAGAGTGAAATATTCCACAACTAAAACCTTCCTAAACCTACCATGAGTATTGAATTTTACTCCTTTGTTCAGACCAACCTTCAAAAAATCATAGCATCTGTACACATATACTACATTGGATATCAATCTATATGCTATCACATTCAAACTTTGAACTTTTCTGAGACAATGATTTCTGAGAGTTCATTAGTACCCTGTTAAATCAGACACTGATTCCTTTTATTTTATACCAGATTACAACTCCCTCAGACCTTACTTCTTTGATTAAGCCAGATTTTTTCCCCTCTACAACAACATATCCATACATGTACACACAATCAGACCCAAATATTGAAGTAAAGTTTCTCTACAACATCAAACATTTAAATCATACAATGTCAATGAAAACCTAACCCTTATCTACTACTCCAGAACTTGTACACCACATCAGATATTATCATTTTTTCCACAAAATCAGAAAACAAGGTCATCATCGTCGTCCATGTTTGGTTTTGAACGTCGCACCATCCTGATGTTATTGTAGCCTATGTCACTGTCAGATGGATCATCAGACAATTCTTCAGCCAGACCCCAGTTTGTCCTCGACATGTGAACAGGAGCTGTTTAAATGAACAAAGGTAAAGGTTATTGCCTTTAATTTGCCTATCTTTTTAAATACTTACATTCAGTATTCAAAACATCCAACACAGTATTACATCAAAGTGAAGTTAACATCTTGTTCAAGGGAGAAAACCTTTTCAAAATCATTTATACAGCATGATTCTTACTCTGTTTGAAAAAATACTTAAAGGCATAAACAATACCTTTGCTTTGAAATTCAATTTGAAAAGAACAGAATAAAAAAAACAAAAATCTATCAATTTCCATTAAACCACAGTCTCGAATATTGTTTCTACTTACAGCTTTGTTCCTCAGCTGGTTTTGTCTTCTTCGGAGACATGGTCCAAGAGAAATCCCGCTTTTTGGTATCTGGCACATCTTCATCAGAATTGTCAGATGGGAATGTCTTGTTCTTTTTAACTGTGTAAGGCTGTTTCTTTTTCAGGCGACGAACAGGTGTGCTATCTTCAGCATCTGTCAGGGCAAAAAATAAATATAATGGTTCATTTGAAAGTGATTAAGGAATAACTGGAAAAGAAAATATTTTTACTTAATAAGTAAGTGTATTACTGGTTTCAGATTAAATGTTTGTGGTATCAGTGGCATTCACGGTGGTGTCACTGTTAGTGTCACTCTTGTCACACTAACCACTCATATTTCCCTTGTTCCTCCTTTCCCTGAAGCCAAACTATTCTCCATAATAATTCATATTCCCTTCATCCCTCCTCTCTCTGTAATAACTCATATTCGCTAAATCCTTTCCCTCATCTCTCCTTTCCCTTTAATGACTCATATCTTTCTCTCCCCATGATCATTCATATTTCTGTTGTCCCTTCTCTCTCCATCACTCCTAATACCCTAACCTCTACTGTCCCTATAACAACTCTTGATTCTCCTAGTCCCTCCCCTCACTAAAACCAATCATCTTCCTATAATCACTCATATTCCTTATGTCCCTCCTCTCACTTAAGTCAAACATCTCCCTATAAGCATTGATATTCCCCTTGTTTTTCCTCTCCTTACTTCCAATCCTCTCCCACTGATCACTCGTACTCTCCTTCTCCCTCCAGTCCTCTCCCACTAATCACTCGTATTCTCCTTCTCCCTCCGCTCCCTCCTGTCACTTCAGTCCCTATAATCGCTCATAATGCCCTTGTACCACCCTAATGTCGATCCATTCCCTTTAATCAATTGCATCTCCCGATAGCCCTATATTCAATACTTACCTCCTCCGTCTAGCGAAGACAGATGATATAAACCTCGTTTTCTTAATGACCAGTCATCACTATCATTGCTTTCCCCTGGGTCAACTATATTCTTGGTAAATTCCTGTGAATTCCTCTCTTTTCCTTTTTTCTTTTTTCCGACTTTCTTCTTCTGTGCAATAGAAACATCAGAGTCTTCTGTTCCTGGATCACCATTTCGATTGCTGTACATGTTGTTGTTGCTGTAGAGAGAGTCCTTCATACCAAATCTGGATTTCAGTGACGTATTATTATAAACAGAATCTTCATCATCTCCAAACCTAGATTTCAATCGTGTATTGTTGCCATAAAGGTTATCACGGTTTCCAAACCTGGAATCTGCACCATTATTATAAAGTGAATCATCACGCATTCCTATTCTGGAATTTCTGTCGTTGCGGTAAAGAGCATCTTCCTGTTTTTCACGTTTTGAAAATGTTAGATTATCATAACCGGATACAATTTGCCTGCTCCCATAGCCTCTGATGGCTGGCAAATGACCATCCTCACTTTCTTCTTCATCATCATTGTCCTTACTAAAACTATTCTCTCTTGCCGAAAAACTGATTTTAGAGAGGGAGCCAACTGATTTTTTGTATTGATCTTCAGTCTCGTCTTCTATTTCTTTAACAGCTCGAAGCTTTTGCTTTTTTGATTTCTTTTTCTTTGTGTTGACTGTTGTTTCATCCATGAAATTTGTACCTAGAGGACGCTGAAGGGGAGGTAATCTAGGAGTAAGTTTGCGGCCACGAGGATGAATATCTATATCGCTATCCTCATCTTCATCCATATGCGATGATAAATGAGTTTGTTTCAACCGATTCTGCTTATGATCATACTTGTTATTTGCTAAATCATTAAAGTGTCTTGGTGAACGTTTAGATCGATTGACGGTTAGATCATCAGAGTCAACATCCTCAGAATCCTCTTCCTTTTCACTGGATGCATTCCTCCTTAATTGTTTCTTTCTGCTGTTGTCTTCCTCTATAAACTTTAATGAGTTATCTAACTCCAGGGTTTTCTTTTTCATTTCCTCATAACGTTTCTGTGAAACATAGAATAATATTTCAATTTTTTTTCAGGGGCACAACATCCAGGACCCAACATTAAATATTATACTTGCAGTATGATATGGACAGAGGTGTACAGCTGCCACCTCTCATCAATATATTGAAAAATCATTGATTTACCAGCATACATCTATATGATTTGATTTTCATATCCACAAGCTAATATGCATTTAAATCAAAGGTTTCTGATGTTTTATCTGGGTTTGAAAAATGTACATATATATGATATTAGGCAACTAAAAGTTTTCTAAAGCATCAGAAACCTTTGTATTAATATGAAGTGAATCAATATCATCATATATCTCTTCTATTTACCATACATGTAACACAAGTATCAACAATATAGATGTTACTACAAATCGGGAACAAAATAATTGTGGATAATTACAATATGTACATTTTATATACCATGATTGAGTATTCGATACAAAGAAGAATATCATCTTGCTCCTATCAGATTTCATACCTATCAGACCTGACTTGTTTCATGTCATAATGGGGACCTAACGGGTAACCCCTAGATATACTAATAACCTGTTTCATTTAAGTCATCATACAAAATGGGGACTTAATGAGTAACCCCTAGATATATTAATAACCTGTTTCATTTAAGTCATCATACAAAATGGGGACTTAATGAGTAACCCCTAGATATATTAATAACCTGTTTCATTTAAGTCATCATACAAAATGGGGAATTAATGAGTAACCCCTAGATATACTTATAACCTGTTTCATTTAAGTCATCATACAAAATGGGGACTTAATGAGTAACCCCTAGATATATTAATAACCTGTTTCATTTAAGTCATCATACAAAATGGGGACTTAATGAGTAACCCCTAGATATATTAATAACCTGTTTCATTTAAGTCATCATACAAAATGGGAACTTAATGAGTAACCCCTAGGTATACTAATAACCTGTTTCATGAAAGTCATGTAAAAATGAGGACCTAATGGGTAATTCTTAGATATACTAACAACAACATCTTCAATTATCAATAATAGCTGGGGCACCTGTCAGTTTTCTTTATCACAATCTAAATCTTCATTGAAAAGTGAGTAAGTATTTCCACCATTAAACTGCACATTTTGAAGATATATTTATGAAGAGTTTTATACTAAACAATTGTCAGTATTTACTAAGCATTTCAACTTAACTAGCAGCTAGTGAGAAATGATAAAGATGGGCAGTAAGAATAATTTGCGTAGAATGTATTTCAAATATAATGATGGACAGTTCACACAAATCTAATAACAGTTTTCTATAAAGAGTCATGATTTTGAATGATTTTCGATGCTTATTTCATCAATATTATTGCAATGCTCAACAATATGAGGTACATATCAAATTAGAAGATATTGTTTCAAGAAAGAAAGAAAAATTTTATTGTTATATTTAAGTCACTAAGTGAATTATAATTGCTATCTAACTCTACAACTCCTAAAACAGAACTGAAGAATGGATCTAGTTGTATTGATATAAATCATAGCTTCAGCAAAATAAAAAAAAAACAAGTTTAATCAAACATAGGTAGAAATTGCAACACAGATGAACAATGTTATGTACAAAAACATCAAACTGGTGACAGAATATCTACAGCATAATCTGTGTTTTGCAGTACATTCAAAGTTTGAGCACAGATTCATAATTCACATACTGTAGATTTTCTTGAATTAGAACAAAGTCAAAGTCACAAATTCAAAACTTTATCAAGCCAGGCCTTGTGAAAAAAAGATGATTATCTGATAAATTATCCACACTACACATTTTGAAGTTTAACATTTATGTAATTTTCATAACCTTAAATTACTAAAAATAAATCAGTAAAGGAAATACCATTTTCAGAATATACAATTTATGTTCTAATTTCATTAAGTTTCGATATATAATATTTTCATGGAGAGATGTAAATTTGATGTAATTTTAGCATTTTATTTATAACGTTTATAAATTTTCTTTTCAAGCTAAGGAAATGCAATCTGATTAAAATACAGATCCTGTTTCTCACTCTGTTACTCTCAGCATATGTAGGATCTGACAACATCTTGTAAGGGGTCATGTTCTCCTGACCTTTTGCACTATCCAATCAAAATATGTAGAGAAATATCTGATTGATAAAAGTGTCATTTTTCACTTGTGTTTATATACATATTGTGGTGAAATGACTTGCTGTCAATTTACAGGTTACAATTTGTTATGCCTCAAGCACAGATCGTGGAAAGGTCACCAGAACATGATCTCTTATGAGATGTTGTCAGATCCCTTATGTAGCAGAGTGGAAATAAGGATCTGCATCTTAATCAGGTTGCAAGCAAATGCTAACAAAGGTGGACTACAGGCCTAGCTTGCTTTGTTTCTATAATTAAACATGTCGTGTGATTATAGAGTACAACTCCCACACAGTGCTTTACCATCTTATATCCTTTGCTGAAAATGGTAAATCATTCTATTAATCATAAACATTTCAAGATTCTTTAAACTCTTTTTTTATGCATGAACTGAAATAATGAAATCAGCCATGTGTCAAAAAAACTTCTGTAACTGACTGTGCAAGAGTTGTTTTTCGAAATGTGAGTAAACATCAATTGAAATCTGTGATTTTGTTCAAAGTACTACGTTTAGTAACAAGCCTGTCATTTTTACTGTCAGTGATCACAAAAATATAACCAAATAAGACTTGAAGCACTTCTAAAATTAAGAAAAAATACATTTATTAAATATACAATGCATTCACTAGTAATCATAATTATTATCCACACATAATATCATACACATGTATTCATTTCAGGAAAGCCAATATCCCAAATACTGTGTCTATGTGTAATGATAAGAAAATCATCCGACGCTTTTCTGGCTGCTCTGATACTCCATTCAAGCGCATTCAATTATGTAAATCTGGTATCAATAAGATATTAACAACTCAAAGATATTTCCATCTTGAACCAACAACTGACTGTTTAGTACTACTGGACCTTGTTAGTGCACTAGCACACACCAGACATGCTGTCATACTACAGTAAACATGATAAATACCCCCACTGTCAAACTCACCTTTCTCTCTATCTCTTCAAGACTGACTGGTTTGAATGGATTCCCTGTATCAATATCATCGTCATCATCAACAGGTTCCTTTATCCCAAGCCTTTTTCTTTCTGCCTTCTCAGCTTCCTCTCTACACAGAATAAACCAGATTTATAAATTGAAGAACAATAGGTGACACTTAAACATTTGCCCATCACCGTTATAACGGAGACCATATTTATTCTAACTGAGTAAAATTAGACCTTTATCCATGGTTGAAAATATCTTCATCCATAACAATACAATGAGCAAATTATTGTTTGACACTTAAGAGAAATTAAGAACAGATTTCTGAGTTTCCACCAATGTAGTTGTAAATGAAAATTCTAACAAAGTAAAGGCTGCCTCATTTACAATATCTCAGAAGTTGGAAACAGGAACTCCTACAATAGTTGTGTAAACATAATATACTAAGTTTAAAAAACAGTATTGGTGAAACTGATGAGGATTCCCAAAATGGAAATGAAACAACAAATATCAATAAGTAAGTAATTAAGAGACTTCGCACCCTGACTTTGGTACACCCAATATTGTCTTAGTATGACCAATGTATATGTCAAGTTTCATTATCTTAATTTACAAGCAAGTTTTGTTTTAGATATACATACATTTAACAAATGGCAATATCTGTATTGTGGGCCCTGAATTGGTGATACACTGCCCATCATCTAACACTGACCAACAGACTTCAACAATTTGAAGACTGTCAATCCCCTTGGGCATATGATTATAAATAGATATTGTATCTCCAAAGTTTCATTTATCAGTTAATTTCCAATACATGTATAATGTCAATGATTTTATACATGATGTATCAAAATGTCAACTCTGGCTACACTTTATTAACAGAGAGGCTGATATTTTAGTAATTTTTTTATCAACTCTTGAATTGATTAAACCAAAGTGTCTGTAATTAAGCCAATGGCCCTTCCATTTTCTCCATCCCAGCAGACAATTACAGATGAAAGATGTATACCTCTCTTGTCGCAATTTGCGTACGCGTTCACGGCGAAGAGCTTTCTCTTCTTCATCCCGTTTCTGCTGCTCCTCCATGTCCCGTGTTACCCTCACTGAATACTGGTCCCAGTTGTGCTCAATCATCCCACATAACCACTTTAACCCTTCCTTCAGTTTTTTGTCAACTTTTTTACCAGTGCCTTTTACTGCAGAGACAGATTCCTGAAAAACAAAAATGAAAACTTCTCAATAAGTCTTTTGGAACCTATAAATATACATTTATTATGATTCAATATTGATTAACAAAACAGTTATACAACATAAATTTCTAGTGTATTCTTCGATCATATTAGAACTGACGGGTTGATGAACTTGTATTTTGTGTTAAAGAGGTGGTATGACTGGTCTCAATAAACCAATCATTAAGAAAACCTGGGTCCTTGATAGTTTTTTTGTTACAGTGGTTCTATTTTTAAGTGCATATCTCTAAAAGGTTCAGCTTTACATCACACTTACTATTCTAGATGGACACTTGTGCCTGTTCACTTGATCCTCTAGGTTTATCTTCTGACACACATCTACAGAATCCATCGCATCCTCACGGTCACATTTGTTGGCTAATCTGTAAAGCAAATAAAACATTAGTAAACAAGTGAACCAGGAATATGATTAGACATATCATTTGGTCTATTCTACATACTTGAGAACGACTGCACTACTTCTATAATAAGCATTGATGATTTTATTTCAGAAGAAATTGGCATTGTAATTTTGAGCTGCTCAATAGTAACATGATTGTATCATTCAGCAAAATATTGGCAGTAGAAATTCAACTATGGCAACTCTTGTTCTTTAATAACATACAAAATTTCCTATTTTCAATTTCAAAATCTCAATTTTATAGAACCTTAACTTTTAAGATAACAAAATTGGATATTATTATTTATAAAGTTTCAAGGTTGAATGTTAGGATATAATTCATTAATACAATACCACATCAAAAGAGTAAATATCTACTTAACATATTTCATTAATATTGGTATGTACAGACTATTGGATATAATGTTAAGTTAATGGAAAGCTCACTTAATCTATATGTTATAACCTAGATCCAGCCAAACTTGTACATATATACTTACAAGAGGATTGGTTTGCCTGTCACCTGGGGGTGGTCCAGCAGGTTTTTAAGATTTTCACTGATCTCAGGCATCCTGTTCGTGGCACTGGAGTCCACCACATATATAACACCATAGATCTCATTGAAGTAATGAGTCCAGATGCTGCGTACATTTTTACCTCCTCCAATATCAAATAAAGTTAAATCAAAGTTGTTCAAATTCACAGTTTCAGTGTTGAAACCAACTGTCGGGGCTACCTCCGATGTGTCTGAAAACAATACCTAAATGTAACTATCAAATTACAACTCAGATTCGTTTTCAAAATGGTTTCAATACAGTACAGTATACATTTAGTTAACTCTTTCATTTCATGGTAGATCTACAATACTATTTCTGATTGTTCATTTTATCTTACCTCCGATTCTAAGCATTCACAATCAATGCATTGTCGAAAAGGTACGGGAAAACTGATTTTAAAACCTACTGACAAATTATGATCATACACACCTCCAGTCAGGGCATTGGTCACAGTGGTTTTCCCTGCTCCATCAATCCCTAATATGGCAACTGTTATTTTCCTAAAACACATAATTCCTTAAAGGTCAGAATCAAAAAAGACATTTCACTCGTCTGTTTGATCATACATTGTAGATATTGTAGGTTACAATATAGAACTGAGCTCTTTTGTTGTCGATCTGATTTAGAGAACAATACTTACTTTTTGGGCTCTACTCGGCCTCTGATACAAGAACAAGCGTTCCCCATTAGTAATTTGAAGTTTGAAGAACGTTTGCATAAAATACCAACGATGGAACTAGTCGTCCATCAGTATGTCTTTGGTAACAGACGACAAATATTTGTTGACGATGGAAAATAAACGGCTGCTAACGATTAGTTGCTAAGTAAATATATGAAATAGTCAAACATTTTTTAAATATAAGGCAGACATGTCTTTCCCTTTGATATAATCTCAGTTTGGTTTTCATTTCAACATCCAAGTAACATATCCAAAGTCTTAATATCTGCCCGAATCATCTGTCACAAAAAGGCACCTGTGTCAGCCATGTTGGCAACCGGGTTGTTTACCCAAGTTGCGTCACTACAATAAGACCACAACTTCCGGTTCAATCTAAAGCGACATGGTGATATATATACTGCCACACTTCAACGTAAAGGTTATATCTACTGTAAAAATTGACAAATGAACCTGTTACAAGAATGGATGGGGAAAACAGTAATTATGATTTTTCAGCCACAACAGATCTCAATAGTTACTTGTACTTACCAATCGCCTTTGTGAAGTAAGAAGTACCGTGGCCGAGTGGTTAAGGCGTTGGACTTAAGTTCCAATGGAGCTCTCTCCGCGTGGGTTCGAACCCCACCGGTACTAGTATTTTTTGTTCACATGCTAATTTATATGTACGAAATACTGCCAAAAGCGATTGCTATCTCAAGGCTATGCAGTCTTTGCAGATGATCGAACTTCATTGTTGTTTGCATTTTATTAGGAAATGATCTCGACAAAATGTCAATATTCATTGATTTTCCATTTGAAAGGCAGATAAAGTGCATAACAAAATCTGCATAGGAGCAGGAATTAGTTCAAATGAAGGTATCCGCCGTAACCGACTCACAACCCGGGCATTATCAAAAAAAAGCATCACACCACAGCGAAAACCAGCTAGTCCAAAATCTGGCATTAAAAGAAAAGTAATGCAAATCTAATCGCATTTTTAAACAAAATATTTGAACGTTGTTAACATTGCCCTCTGTCTTAATACATAAACACAGTCCAGAGAAGACTTCTGTCAGTCATTGTGTCGAATGTCTTGTGGAAGCCAGAGAAAACTCCGACTAAAATTACCATAACGGTATCAGTAGTGTTTAATCGAAACCAAGAAAGGTCGAAGGGAGACAACTCCCAAACATCATACCCCTACACAATACTATTCACAGCAGATATGATTCTCAGGATACCAAGGGAGACTACATCAGAGAGGACTACTACTGATCCTCTCATTCATTAGTGTATAGTGACACCTCAAGAGGTATGTGGCGTCCTCTTCTGTGCTCCATCCCCGCACTCACATTTGTAAAATAGTTTACACATACAGCGAAGGCATTTGTGTCCCCCCGGGGGCTTCCGAGTGGAGTGCTCGCTGCCGAAACTACAAAGAAAAACAACATACACTAGTAAACACACATTTCAAGTATTTGTTAAACAAACGAGTAAATAGGGAGAGAAATCAATACATTTAAAGCCCTATATCCACACACATTTTCAAGTATTTGTTAACACAACACTCCTGCTAAACACATAGTCTAAAACATATAATCCAGCCATCCTACCCGTGCATACGCAAAGCATATCTCTCCTAGCCCTTCGAAATCAGCACATCCACACAGATAACATATATAATTATGAAAAGTAGGTATAGTGAACAGCCGTATGCAGAAAGAGTGGAGTGGAATCACAGAAACCAATAGACATTTATAAAGTGATAAATTAGCTTCGTCAATATGATTGGGAAAGGTTTTCAACACGGGACTAAAAAAGAAAAAAAAAACAAGTGTTAATTACAATTACACATGCATCGATCTAATCACTGACTTTAGCCGGAGGATGAGACCTGTGTCAGGATTGTCCACTCTCACGCACTAATGATCCCTCTGTGACTTTTCGGAAAAGAGAAGGCATGAAAACGCTGGCCCAGGGGCCTACGGATAGTGTCAGACTATACAATTATTTTTAAAGGCATTAGACAGACTTCGAAATTACCCGAACACAAACCAAATATAGTTTGGCCCCAAACTCTTCGTTTCAGCTCCTGGACATTAACAACTGCTAGAGATAGGATAAGGCACTATTATGTCCTGGAGCCGTCGATTAAAACTAGCATGATTGAACGATCACCGCAAAAGACGGTTCCTTCCCAAGTGGGTGTGTGTGAGACGATACTCGGGGGAGGGGGAGGGGGTGAGACGATACTCGGACACGAGAGAAGTCACGGAGACGGAAAACCTGTTAACCAACCAATTAACCAATTGAAACCAAGTTAAGTGAGGGAAAACCAGAAACGTCCTCACAAACGAAGACTGAGGTAGAAAAACGTAAAACTGCTTTGAAAGATCTCTATATTTTGTTACACGGATGTGCATTAACCTTAAATAGTTGGAAGAAGACTACCTCGAATGTCTTTGAAAGATCAGAGTTACCAATGAAAACATTGAGAAGTCAATCGGTGAACTATATATATTCTCATAGATGATGTCAAATTGTAACTAATTTGAAATCAATTTTATACAAAGGGACGAATGAAGACATTATTTCAATGGACTAGAGACAGAAAATTAAAAATATTTCAATAGATTCGGCTGTTTACAACAAGATAAAGTTACACTGACCATCATACACCCTGCTTAGATAGGCTTCAGGTAATTACTTATATAATCAGGGAACGAAATAATACATGAACATGTGTAGTAGATCAGTAACGACAGAATACCTCTGGCCACTGGTCAATACACAATTGCTCACAGTAGGTGTCAGTAATAAATTAATTCTGGCAGATACGTTATGATGAAACATTTGACTTATGTTTAGCACAATCACAACAGCCGAATCTATTGCCATTTATGTGTGCAAGACCATGTATTATTCAATCCTTGTTTACCTGTTAGCTAATGTTAAATAATATTCTATCAGTTAATTAACATGGCTTGTATAAATACAACCACATTTCTAGTCAGTACGGTTCGGTTCCTGAAGGCCAGATAGGAGAGAAGCTAGTCCCCACTGGCGGGACGCCCGATCGCTCGCTGCACAAGAGCATCCCAACTCTAGTCTCAACTTTTGAAACTGTTACACGTTTTCATTTTTATCGGCGCTAACGTGAAATGCTGAGGGATACGCGTCATCAATAGTTGTGAAAGCAGAGGAAGAGACAGAAACAGATAGGACACGATATCAATCAGTCGACAGTTCTTGGGATCAAGAAAGAGGTTAGGAAGTTTATGGTGCCCATATAGCCGGAAGGGTTCTGACTACGACAAAGGCTGAACTATTGGACTAAGGCTCTCAATGCTACAACGACTCCGGCGGCAATGATGATGATGATGATGATGGTGATGAAGATCAGCTTGATAAAGTTGTTCAAAACAAAACAAACAAAAAACCAGAAAACAAAAATGATTTGGAAGTACTTAAATCGAAATAGTATAATAGCTGATAGAATGAATTGTCTACAAGTAATTATAGACATCTATGTCATATGTTATTGATAGTTCAGTGATCGACAAAGCCATATTTTTGCCTCTATGTCTATATACTTATCCGACATCGATTACAACAGGGACGTTTGTACGTTCAACGACAGAGTTCACTTATGAAGTCCGAGTTCCAGTGTCTTTTCAAAACACACACTCTTTATAAACCTTACCTGTTGACATTTTTATAGACAGTGCAGTGTGATTACGAAAATTTTATGCAATACAGAACATATTTGATAAAGCTGGGAAAATCACCGATATGGAAAACGTCATACTATCAGTACCGTGGCCGAGTGGTTAAGGCGTTGGACTTAAGTTCCAATGGAGCTCTCTCCGCGTGGGTTCGAACCCCACCGGTACTAGTATTTTTGTTTGTTATTTTAAGTTTAAATGGAAGCAAAACGTAGCCAGAGGACGCAGTATATCTGTTGCGATGCTTTCCAGTACTTTTTTATTTTAAATTTTTAAACATGATCCAATTAATTGCAAATATTTCAAGAAACTGCCATTAAACTACTTATGTTTTAGAGATTTTATAATTTCTAAAATTTCATCCTTGTTCTGGTTATGTTTTTATTTTTAAATGTTAAATGACATAAGTAATGTAAAAACAAAACAACAATATGTTGTTGCACTTCTTTAAGTGGCACGAGCGTCATATGCATTTTCACTTCTTTTTCGAGAATAAGTAGTATTCTTGATTATTTTCAAGGCAATATTTGTTTCCAGCAAACAATTCGTCATTTAAATGTGATCATGAGAATGACACTGGGATGATAAGCAAAAAATATCTCAAAACGCTGATTTTCAATTTAATATGTCAGCTACACATCACACATCTCCATAACAATCGCAAAACGGAAATTTTGAAAACATGATTTGCTTAAATCCTGTATTTGACGATGTTCAAAGGGCCACTGTGCTTATTTTATTTAATTATTTCTTTTACCCAAATGTTAATATTTTTAAATTCAAGAAAAAAATAAAAATAAAAAAACCCGTCATGTCAGCACTCACGTATTTCAAATTGTGATTTGTGTCGATTATTCATGTAAACATTATTATTATTAGAATTTTGCCCAAAACTTCCAGAGTTTATTACACTCAAGAGAATCACGTAAACTCTAGCAACGAAAGAAAACCTGTTGAAATCGTTGACGTCCAAAAACGAATTACGACGTCATCTACGCCTTCAAAAATGTAGTTCACCGGATAAATTTACAGAACGTCTTAAAAGGCGCTTCTCTTTTGTATATCAAAATTCGAATATTTATCGCATTGGAATCCACTATGTACTGAATGATATCATACTTCCGGTCAAACATGAGTTTCGTACATCCATAAGGTTGTGAAATGTTAACATGTTCTTCTACACCAGCTTAAAAAAAGCATTTCTAGCGATCTTTCTTTTTCCAGGTTTGAAAAACAAAAAAATTCCGTCGAGGAAATTGTAATGTAAATTTATAATCTATGAAATATGGGAAACTATCAACATTTATTTAT